TCAGAGTAACTCTAATCAAATAAGTGGAAGACCTGTATGACAAGAATTTTAAATCTTTGAAGAAAGAAATTGAAGAAGACACCAGAAAATGAAACAATTTCCCATGTTCTTGGGTAAGTAGAATTAACTTAGTAAAAATGACAATCTTACCAAAAGCAGTCTACAGATTCAATGCAATGCCCAGCAAAATTCTTCACAGACCTCAAAATATCAATACTCAGCTTCATATGGAAAAGCAAAAAACCCAGGAAAGCCAAAACAATCCTGTACAATAAAGGAACTTCTGGAGGCATCACAATCCCTGCCTTCAAACTCTACTACAGAGCTACAGTACTTAAAACAACCGGTATTGGCATAAAAACAGACAGGAGAACCAATGGAACTGAATCGAAGACCCGGATATTAATCCACACACCTGCAAACACCTGATTTTTGACAAAGAAGCAAAAAAATACAAAATGGAAAAAAGAAAGCATATTTAACAAATGGTGCTGGCATAACTGGATATCAACATGTAGAAGAATGCAAATAGATCCATAATTATCACCATGCACAAAACTCAAGTCCAAATGGATCAAAGACTTCAACATAAAGCCAGCCACACTGCACCTCACAGAAGAGAAAGTGGGAAGTACACTTGAACGCATCAGACTCCTTTGTCTGATATGAGAAACTGCTTGTGGAAATCAGGAATTCGATGGCAATGGAACAGGAGAAGTGAGCTTAGTGTGGATGGCTATGAAATTGCTTTAAATAACTCGAATGTTCTGTTTCATGCACCGTGTGTGTGTGTGTGTGTGTGTGTGTAGACCTCCCAACTGCAGGCCTTTTCCTGGTTGAAAGCCTGTCACAGCTGTTACCAGCAGATAATTGTATTTGCAATATCACACTGTGCCTTAGGATCCCCAGGCTTGCATTCCTGAACCGTCCCCATTTCTTACCATAAGTTCTCTGACCCAGAAAAGCTCCCTCACATCCCCCCAACACGCACGCACACACACACACACACACACACACACCCTAAACAGGTCAACCAACAGGGTCGGTGTATCCCCTGTTGGTGGGTACACACTGAGGTACAAACTTCAGCTTTGTAGAACCCTTATCTCTCCCACAGCGCATTGCCAACAGATGGACACCTGAATTAATTAAGCAACTTCACCTGGATTTAATTAAGCTGTTTCTGAACCAGGTAGCTGTTTTATATGTAAGTCCAGATTGGTATCCTGGACTTACGGTGGGTAGTCACTACCTGCTATCCCGACCATGTAGGCAAGAAAGGGATATATGATAGTGGGAGCCAAAATCAGCCCTTCACCTCCTGTGATCGGGGATTCCTCCAGGCCTGGTACTCAAGGGCTTCCAGTTGCAACAAAGTAACTTTAGAATCCCGATTCTCTTTCAGTCCTTGCTTTTGTTCACACCTGTGTGGAAACAGGGAATGGATGGGATCTGAGGGTCCAGTCGTGTGGGGTATCTGGGACATCTGATTCCTGGCTGTTATCTTCAGGATTCATTTTCTTCTTTACTGTGCTTTGAGGAAAGAACTGAGGCAGAGCAAATGGGGCAAGTGAACCTTTATGTAGGACAGAGCTAAGGAAACAGTCATGCTCTAAGACTTTGCCAAAGGACAGGTTTTAAGAGATGGGAATCTGCCTGTCGGCTGTGGCTAACTTCCATCTGAAGATAGGTGCATTGTCTAGGGGTCGTTTCTGGGCCTCCACTTTCTTACAGGAGGAAGGGTTGTCTCAGAGACAAGGCCAGGTTGCCACCTAGCTCAGTGACAGGGCAGTTCCAGTGTTCCCTGAGCGGAGGCTCTGTGTCCTTGGTGACACACTCGTTACCTAGGAGACGCTGGCAGCAGGACCGAGGCCTGCAGAGGAGATGAGAGGCTGTTAATGAGGACAGTGCTGTCGCCTACCAGCTGCTCACCAGTGCTGCCCTTTCCGTGAGTTCCTGCTGTCTTCACAGGGCCACCAGGAGCAGCCTCGGCTCTGGCTGCACATGACTGCTGATTGTCTTAAACTTCTGTGCTTGAGCCCGTCTCTTCCATTCAGTGCATCGCCATTGCAACCTCACGTCACCTATCTTGCACCTTCTCATTAAGGATAAAAATAGCTCAGAGGCTCGCTTGCTCTGACAACAGAATGAAGTTCCCGAAAGATGTTTTCCTATCGCACCCCTGTACCTTCTCCTGCTTCTTCCTTGTTCTATGCCCCTCCTGTTACCCCCACAGCCCTTAATGCTCCCCACTGCTGCCAGTTTCAGATGCTCTGCATCTTTGGGCATTCATTTAGACAGAAACACTGCTGCAGACGCATATCTCCATCTCAGCCAAGGTTGCATTTGGGCAGCTTGGGCTGACCGTTCTCTTAGAACAGAGCATGTTCAGGATAGCGAGGTGGACGCTAAGGTAGTCTCAATGGTAGGCACTCTAATGTTCATGGCTCTGTGCGTGTGTGTGTGTGTGTGTGTGTATCCATGTGCATGTGGCGGTCTGAGAACAAGTTTTGAGAGTTGGTGGTTCTCCACTTACGTCAAGTGGATTCCTGGGATCTAAGATCTTCAGGCTTGACAGCAAACACCATTACTTGCTGAACCATGTCACTGACCCCAAGGATAATATTCCAAACTGCCTAGTTGTGCATTGTAAGTGATATGTGTTGAAAATTTTTATATAAAAAATATCCCCCAAGTGTCAATAAGTTTTACTTATTGCCTTCCTTAGCACAATCTAAGAGAATATAATAATTGAGTCTCTTCAGGGAAAGTTAATTTTAGGGCTCTTTTTCTGCACACACCTTCTTTCTTGACCCTGGCAATTAGTGGTGAGAAAGTTCAAGCAGAGGGCTATGACACGGGGTGATGTAAGTGAGTTTAAGATGGGCTCTCCGAGGGCAAGGTGACATGGTAGAGACCTGCAGAGTGGACTGACTGTCAGTCCGGACCTGTCAATGCGTGGGCTCTGTTGATGAGATGGCGACGGCTTGGAGTAGGAACCATTGTCAGGGAGACTGTTGACAGTGAGGTAAAGGTGTAAAGCCTGATCACATGGCTGGCGGGTCATGGGCAGGGATTCCCATTTCATTGTAGTAAGAATAGGACAATGATTGCTGAAGAAATGGGTCAGAAGGTGAAGTGCCAACAAAAGCCCAGGAGTTTAGTTCCCTAGAACATACATGAAAGCATCTTACAGACCCAACGGGACTGGTGCACATATGAACTCACATGGTGGAGTATGCACAGGACCTGCATAAGTTCAAGTCAAAAAAAAAAAAAATCCCAGCATGGGGAAAGGGGAAGTGGACACAGAGTGCCACCCTAACCAAGAAGCTTTTTGCAATCAATAACCTGCTGGGAGAGAAAAAAAACGCTTTTCTCCAATGGAGCGACACTGAGTCTATCAACCACACTCCAGGGCAGGCCCCACGCTCTAGTTGGCCAGCACAAAACAGACTCCTTCCTTGGCTTTGTTGTGCTTTATTTTGGTTTGGTTTGGTTTACTTTGGTAGTGTGTGTGTGTGTGTGTGTGTGTGTGTTTGGGGTTTGTTTGTTTTGATTTGAGGGGATTTATTTCTTAGAGGAGATAGAACATGAAGTAGGATGGGAAGGAAGTGGAGAGAATGTAGGAGGAGTTGGGGGGGGGCAGAAAAGAATATGACTAAAATATATTGTGTGAGAATAAAACTTAACCAGTAAATAAAAGGCATTATGGTATGTCTTACAACTCTAGCACTGGGGAAGCAGAGACAGGGAGAATTCCCCAGTTTTCTGATCAGCTGCTCTAGCCTAATCAGTGAGCCTTAAGCAGTGGGTATCAGGCCAGTGAGAGAGAAAACAGGGTGAACGGAGCCCAAGGCTGTCCTTTGGCTAGCACACGGAAACACACAGATAATACATACACAGCTTAAAGCGGGGGAGGAGGAAGGATAGGAAGGAAGGATATAAATAGACAACCTTTCAAATGTAAACACTATTCTCTCTCTCTCCTTCCTAGACATGATACATCATTGTGTTGTGCTTTGTCCCTCATCCTATAAAAGCAAATATTCTGGATTGCATTTAATCCGACAAGCCAGGTAGTTCAGGTTTGACTTCATGTAACATTTGAACAGTAATGGCACAAATTTTCCCACTTTCCTGCTTTATTAGCCAACCAACTTTGCACAGTAAAAAGGAATCCTAATTTCTTATGGAATGCACATACATCTTGTGCCCTTGATTGCTTTTCTGTTGCTGGGACCAGAAGCTATTTGGGGAGGGAAAGGTGGTGGGAAGCCAGGGCAGGAGCTCAGGACAGGAACCAGTAGGCAGGAACTGAAGCAGAGACCATAGAGGAAGCCGCTAATCCTGCTTTCCTATATAACCCAGGGCCACCTGCCTAGGGGTAGCGCTTCTCACAGTGACCTGGGCCCTCAGCAATCTTTAATCAGAGAACTATCAGGGAGACATGCCAAAAAGCCGATCTCGCAGAGGTAATTCCTCGGTTGGGGTTTCCTCCTTCCAGGTGATTTTAGTTGGTGCCAAGTTGACAAAATAAGGAACACAGTCCAGTTTCACTCCCCGCTTCTTGACATAAGCCCAGTGTGGGTAGAGGCTCCCTGGTTAACTCTGAATTTAGGTGTCCTGAGTCACGGGATAATGAGGCTCGAGTGACCGCTGGTTTTCCAAAGTTAATCGACTCTGGGAGGTTGAGGCTACACCCTGCAGTTAGAGATTAGACTTGGCAGTGGTGGCTATAATTTTGTCATTTGTCTCTGGCTGGGCTTGACTACTAGAAGCTGCTGGAGATAGTGACATCTAGTGGGGCTCAAGGAGTCAGGCCTCTGTGGGCCTTGCAGATGCTTAATTAATCATCCAGCTGTTGAGAAGCCAGCTCCTCTTTAACCCCTGGCATGTCCTAAAATTATATCCTCCATAGTCCTGATGAATGTGTCAAAATGAGAAATTTTTATAAGTGCTGCTTCTTTGTTAATTTGTTTTTTTTTTTCTTCCCTTAGACAGAAGATCCAACCATGGAGAGACCCTATACATTTAAGGACTTTCTCCTGCGACCAAGAAGGTGGGGCTTGCGGGTGGATGTGGGAGTGAGTGATGCAGGGCTGGGTTCTCTGAGGACAGTTTCAGCCAACACCTTAAACAAGAAAGATGGAAACAAGCCATAGTCTTTATAACTGGTTTTCTTCCTTGTGTGCAGCCATAAATCGCGAGTCAAGGGTTTTTTGCGGTTGAAAATGGCGTACATGCCGAAAAACGGAGCTCAGGATGAAGAAAACAGCGAGCAGAGGGACGACATGGAGGTATGAGGGTCAGCTGTGGGGTCTGGCCTGTCTCCCGGCTGCTCGCCTCACTCTCGTTACACTCTGAGACTCGCTGAAGGGAGTGAATGTTTGTAAACATAAATACAAACACATACACACATACCCCCGCGCTTGTCTTTGAAAGTCTCCGCTGTGAGATTGTTTTAGCCAAAGTGCAATTCTCATTCTATGTCACGACTCTAATAATAGGAAGAGCAGCGCTTCGTACAGTTGTATTGGTTTTCTCTTCTGGCTGCTGTTAAGATACCCACCCCGAGCCAGTTACGGAAGAAAGGCTCACATTTCAGGCCAGGGAGGTTCGCTGTGGCGGTAGGAATGTGGAGCAGCTGGTCATATTGTATCACAGTCGGAAGATGGAAAGTAGACAGAACAGGGTTCTGCTGTAAATCCACAAGGCCCACCCTCAAGGACCCACTCCCTTCCACAAGACTCCACCTTCTGAAGGTTCAGCAACCTTTCCAGGCACCATCGCCAGCAGAGGACCAAGTGTCCACACACACGAGCCTAAGGGAGACTCTTCATAGCGGCTTAAGGCATCTACTGTGGATGGCCCCACTGCCAGGAAAAACAAGAACAAAAACATTATTGCTTTGGGCTTTCAGTTATTTTGGGGTTCCTCTTAGCACTTGAGCTTGCTCCAAAGTGGATGGGGATTGACTTAAAAGCTGTCTCCCCATTTCTGGTTCATTTGGTCCTTGGGTAACAGTATGTACTGCAAAGCTGTCCTTGGGAAATGCCATTTTGCAGTTAGCCATCCAGAAGAGTGTTCTGCTCTGTCCTCTTCCTGGCGGAGCGGGCTCTTCGCTTTCTGGTCCCATGCCTGCGCTGGGGATCGCACTGTACCATCTCAGCACACACTGTGTTCAACACTGTCCTGTTAACAACTCTCGTCTTGTTCAGAACGCTCTCACTGAACGAGGCCTCCCTGGCTGTTCTCACGTCTGTTTGCAGCTGTCCCACATGTGTGGTACTTGAATGATAGGTGGCGGACAAGCTGACCAAACTCCCTCGCACCAAGAGGCTACATCTCCAGGCAGAGTTTCACTATAGACTTCCACAGCTACCGCCACGTGACAGGGTGGGTGGCAGGCCGTAGTGGAGTTTGAGATTTCCCAAGCAAAGCAGCAGATTGCTGTGTGAAACCCGAGGAATTTTTTTTTATGCTCTTCTCATCTTCTGACTGCAGTCACCAGTGAATCGGTTGATTTTCCGCTGGCTTTACCAGGGGATGTTAGGAAAGCAATACTTAATGCCGAAGGTATGTGTCGGAACAGTTCAACTCTGGTCCTGGCCCCATGCAGTCTGTTCAGGCAGTGCCGAAGCAACGGCATCAGTTTCTAGACAACTCCTGGCTCACCATTGTAACAGACAAGGGAGAGGCTTCATCTCCGGTCACGCCAGCCCCAGGCCATCCTCGCTGGGGACCAATAGCCCTATCCCTATACCTGTAACCTGTGCCCTGCTTTCTGTAGACCACACATGCATGCATCATGGTGGTGTTGAAAGGAGGGTGGCCGTGACAGCTCCGGCATGTCCCGTGCCGTTGGCTTTGTGCGGCCCTAGAGGTTGTCGAGTTGAAACAACTACTGGAAATGTACGTAAGGGCGTAAACGAATGCAGACAGATTGTAAAAATATATATACAGCTTTAATGGCGAAATAGACTTACAGAACCACCGTTCCCGTGGAGACCAGGAAAGCAGAAGGGACGGCTGGGAGCACGCTCGCCAAATTTATAGGCAAACATTAGCCCGAGGCGAACACGCCCCCCAAGGGGCGGGACTTATCCCTACAAATGTACGATTTTGTGATGTGGCTTAGAAACTAAACAGGGCTGGCGAGATGGCGTGACAGGTTAGGGTGCCTTCTGCCACACTGGTTTGATCCATGGGATTCACATGGTAGGAGAGGAAAGAGCTGACTTGTGCCAGTTGTCCTCTGACCTGTATACATGTGCCATGTAGGCACACGTGAGCTTACGTATAAACGTACACACTCAAATAAATGAATGTTTAAGAAATGAAAAGAAAGTAAATGAAGTCTCCAGACCTGGTGGCCCCCTGCGATGCAGTCATCTTAGAAGCTGGCATGATCAACTGGCCATTGCTCAGATGAGTGTTGAAACCCTGAATTGGTTTTTCTCCCTTTGAGGGAGCATCTATCTCAGCACGAGCCAGGAAACCATTGTAAGACCCAGAGTGAGGCCGGGTGAGGCAGAAGGGTGTCACGCTGGGGTGGCCTGCTCCTGTGATCTGGAGCCCAGACTCACGACCCTCCCATTCACTTTACTCCACAGCATGGATGGGAGGTTGTTGACTCCAACGACTCAGCTTCCCAGCACCAGGAGGAGCTCCCTCCTCCTCCCCTGCCACCAGGATGGGAAGAGAAAGTGGACAATTTAGGCCGCACTTACTATGTCAACCACAACAATAGGAGTACCCAGTGGCACCGGCCCAGCTTGATGTAAGTACCGCCAGATGGCAGGGATGCTCTGTCACGCCCCGCACAGCAGAGGGTGGCAGTTCCAGGGCAGGTTTGGGAGCTAGTGAGTGAGCATGTGCATGTGTATGTGCATGCGTGCAAGCGTGCATGCAGGGAAAGGCTGCTGCCCTGTGCCAGGTTGCCTTTTGCAATGCGGTTGGAGTTTTTCTTCTATGCCTCTTGTAGGATTACTGAAATGTGCTCTTCCTGGAGTCTACTTTGGCTCAGCGATCACCTTGCTTCCGTCTTCTTCAGCTTCCTCTCCGGGCTGACCCAGGATGGGAAACAGGAGGCAGAGTGATTGTCTTTGCCATTTTCCTTTATGTTTTGCATTCTTAGTCTTTTACAGTTACTTGATTTAGGAAGCCACAAAGGCTTCTTTTATTTTTATTTTGTTTACTTTTCAGAAAATTTATGTATTACTGCCTTGGTATATTTAGAAATGCAAAGAAGATTTGCAAAGTCAAAATTAGTAATTACTGTTTATTTCAACATCCTACTAGCTTAGGGAGAAAGCAACGCAGATGATGCCTGTTCCCTTAGTAATTTTTGTTCTGATGATAGCACATAAATCCTAGTTAAACCTCAATTACTGCCTTTAAGAAAGATTTTAAAGTAGATTTTTTGTTGAATCATCGTAGCAAAACTTAAATTTATCAATGTGCAGTAAGAGGCAGAGCCAAAGTACAGTCCCGGCGGGAAAAGCGGAAGTTACCTTAGATATTACAAGCTTGCCAGCAGCCAAGATAGCATCATTCATATTACAAAGTAGATATTACAAGTGGTCACTTTTCAAAATGCAACAAAGGCAAGTGAGTGTACTGACTCGTCAGATCATATTCTCTCCAACCCAAACAGAAAGAGATTTCCCAGTGATGCTTCTTAGGCAGGTGATATCCAGAGATGCTGGAAACTGCTCTTACAAATCCTTTATCCTTAGAAATTTTGAAGGTATTCGCCATATAATTGGGGGAGTGGCTAGAGAGGGTGGGCCAAGTCCGCTGGCTGACGTTGTATATGGTTTGGCCGAAAGCTTACAGAATCTGGAGCAGTGACTAGGTAGTCATCCCTGGTCTTCCCTGTGTAGGTGCTTGGGTCTACCAGCTGTTCTTGGTCACTCTGCTTTACCCAGTCTGGGCTCATCTTACTATTTAGACAAAACACATATCATGATGATGCTAGGGTCTTAAATATATGTGATTTTGTTGATACTATATCTTTATTTACTGCTGTTTGTCTTTCATTAATGATCTCACAATACTTAGAAGTTTGCTAAGCTCTTTAAGTGCTGTATCTATCTGTAGGTCCTTGAACCTACCTCAGGCATAGTATCTTACCATTAAAAAAAGAGGCATCATCCAACTAAGCTAAACAGCACAGGAGAGGAGAACACACAAGGGGGCTAATGTGGTGATCAGAGCCTCGCACAACCCCTGCAGAACAGGACCAGGAGGAAATGTTAGTGGCTGACACACAGTTGGGATTGTCCACCTTTGTTGATCACTACCACGCAGGGGGAAGTCTTTATTTGAGGGGAAAGCTGGGTGCAGTTGTTAGTGAGGTGACAGCCGAGACAGCACAGGATGTGTGTTTAGAGTATATCATCTTTGCAACACGGTGGTCGTTTCATAAGTGTGTACTTAAATCGATCAAGGTGTATCAGTTATGTAAGCATGACTTCTTACGTTGTGAAACACATCTCATCTCAAAAGCCAGAAAACTGTGATTGACAGAAGTCAGTTTCCACTGCATCCCCTCTATCCCATCTGCAGTTTATGCATTTGGAATTATTGCTCCTTAACATGTTTGTCTTGGCCAGAAGTTCTAGGCCCTCCAGAGAAATTATCTTTTGCTTTTAGTTTTATTTTTTTTTGTAACTCAATTTTTATAGACTGTTCTTGCACTCTTCAGAGAAAAAATTATATTGTGAGAAAATACCTTAATTAAGAAATTATATCTGAGAACATTGGATAGTGATCAATCAGGTCCTAAGTCAACGAAGAATTCACGGCCTCAGTGGGTAGACATGAAGAGACAGGCACCCCAAAGTTGAACCCTCTGAACTTGGCAGGGTTTGTTTTGTCCCTGACTTGCCCTTAGGACACTCTGGAGGCAATTCTGCATCTCCGTTTCTTGACAAATGTCCCTCGGTTAAACATGCAGAGTGCCCAGGAGTCTCATCACGGCTGCTTTCTGCTTGCTTTCTCTGCAGCCAGCTCCTGTGGCTCATGTCCCTTCCCCAAAGCAAAAAAGAGCTGGGAGACAGAGCAGGCCCCTCCCGACAAGTGAATGTCCGCTGCCAGCCCCCCCTCCCCCCCCCCCCCGATCTACCAGCTCAGCAGCCTGTGTTCTCTGTGTGTTGGGTTGGGTGTGTGTTTGTTGTTTTTTCTCTGCCAGGCTCTCACTGTGTAGCCCAGGATGCTCCCCCGTGCTAGGATTTCAGGTGTGAGCTGCCTTTGAGGTGGATGAATAGGAATATTCTGGGACTGGGACTTCTCCCTCAGAGACCCTCATGCCCAGCACGGGAGAAAGAGTGCAGCATGGTGTTAGATGAATGGCCAAAGGAGCCATTTCAGGAAGGGATTTTAGGCACATGGTTTGGGGTACTGTCTGGGCCTAGTTCAGGCCTCTCCTAATACCTACAGAACAGAAGGTGTCCCTTGAAGTCACCCCACCTTCTCAATTCTAGTAACTTTTAAAACACCCCATTTTAGATTTATTCTTAATCCTGTTTGGAAGTAAACTATATTTTACTACAAAAATGACAAGTACCATTTGTAAGATAAACTTAAGTTGAAATACTTGTTTTAAGCTGTTGATTATAAAATACTCAATGCATCATCTCCCAGTTCCCTAGCAACCAGGCTTAGCTCTGTGGTTTGGGTCATCCTTAACAGTCATATGCATTGAGGCAAAGGGGAGGGCAAGATGGCCCAAAGGGTCAAAAGCCTTTGCCTCACAAGCCTGGGGACCTAAGTTCAACCCCCAGAATCCACAGTGGGGGGAGAGAACCTATTTCCAAGGTTGCCCTCTGACCTCTACACATATGTGTACGTAATAGTAAGAAATATAATTTATTAAAAGAAAGCAAATGCTTGGGCTGGGCGTGGTCTGAGGCTTTAATCTTAGTAACTGAGCTAGTTTCAAGGAAGGATTGGTAAAGTGGTAAAGTCTTGCTATTCCTGTCACTTCCCATGATATTCAAAGGGAACTGTGTGTGCAAAATTAACGACTGGAAAAAAAAGAAAAGATGACGTAGGCATTTCTCACATTGTTTCCCTGTTCCTGGTAAAATCATCTTTGCATCTAGGTTTATCAGGCTAACTGGTAGCTGCAGGTACTTGTAGAACCTTGTAGGCAGTGAACAGCTCTTTCACTCATTTAAAGACGAAGGAAACAAACACACACACACACACACACACACACACACACGCTCGCACCCTGTGCAAATTCTTCATATTATTACCTAAGACGAGAAAAGCCTGTTTGATATTGCTGTGACCAGATACCTAAGATAAATTATGGGAGTAAGGGTTTTATTTCGGTTCACAGTTTCAAAAGTTCATAGCCAGGGAGGGAATGGATCGATCCATTGCTTTAAGCTGAGACAAATGAGTCTCTCATGGCAGTGGGAACAGGGCTTCAAAGCTGCCAGGGAGCAGAGAGTGCATTCCTGGGCTATCCAGCCTCCTGCTCCCTTTTTCATCCCTCCAGCTACCATTCAGACCAATTGCTGATTAGCTGAGCAAGTTGGGTATGGGAAATTGACATCACTGATTTTAAATAGAGCATTCTACACACACACACGCACACACACACGCACACACACGCACACACGCACACACACGCACGCACACACACACACCAGTTGTGCAATAGGAGACATCATATACTTTAGAGGGTGTGAGATACAGACAAGTCATCACTCCACCCAGGCACTGTGACCCTTGTTTTACCCAGGTTTGTGGAGCCCCTGTAGTCCCTCTGGAGTACCTGGGGACTAAATTTGAAGGAGGACTTTCAGTCTTTAGAGAGTGCACATGGAGTCAGGAGTTTTCAAGTGAGGAAAATCATCATAAGGAGCAACTGTGTTCACCCTTAGTCACCAAGAGAGGGTCAGGTGCAGCGGCACATCATTAATCCCAGCACTCGGGAGGCAGAGGCAGGCGGATCTCTGCGAGTTCAAGGCCAGCCTGGTCTTCAGAGAAAGACCCTGCCTGATGGAAAGGAAAGGAAAGGAAAGGAAAGAAAGGAAAAAGAAATTTAAGAAGATAGTAAAGCAGGCAGGCACTCCTTAGCTTCCTCTGGCTGCTTCCCTGCTGAGGTCATTTACAAATGTGCTGTAACATTTTACATTTCTGTTTTGTACTTTATTTCATGCTTGAGAGTTGAACATTTTAAAACACGAGGACAATAAATACATCATCACAGATACAATATATCTAAAAGCCAGCAGTAACATCTTTAATCTTTTATGTTTTCAGAAACATTACTACACTTTTGTATTCCTTGATTATAATAATTGCATCTATGATAATATCAGTTTTCTGAAGATGCCTCTATTTAGTGTACAAGTTTATTCTAATTACGTATTTAATACAACAATATATGTTGTAATAGCAGCAAATTTATGTATTATATATACAAATATAAAATTCCTTTAATTCATATTTTAGTAATAAAGAATTATAATTTGCATGTGAACTAAATAGAAACTAACTTCCACACTACTTTTTTTAGCCCTAAAGTTAATAGTGTAAAGATGTTTGATAACAAACATTTGAGTAAGCCAGACAGTAGTAGCACATGCCTTTAATCCCAGCACTAGGGTGACAGAAGCAGGTGATTTTCTATGAGTTCGAGGCCAGCCTGGTCTGCAGAGTGAGTTCCAGGACAGCCAAGGCTACACAGAGAAACCCTGTTGCAAAATATTATAAAAATAAAAATAAAAAAAATAAAAGGAAACATTTTGCTTATTTAGGATGTTGTGACATCTTCCTACATTGTTGCTCTTTGAATAGTTGCTATTCTGAAATCCAGTTGGCTCTTTCTGGGGGTTGTGAGTGAGTTTGGAAGTACTAGAAATTCTAAATCCTTTCTTTTAGAAAGACTCTATAAGTAGACTATTGATTAATACTGTGTTTCAATTCAGCTGAACTAAAATTCTCAGTTATTCTGGAACATTAACCTGAAATATAATTTGTGCTGATTCGATATGGAGTCGGACTGAGCATGTGCAGGTGCCTCTGGCGGGCGTTCAGACTTCCACTCCAGCAACATCTAGCTGATGGTTTCCTCCAAAGGACCATCGCCTGTTATGTGCTGCAAAGTATTTTAGGGTGCTGTCGACTGGGTTGTTTTCAAGAATAAGTTCTTCAACGCAGATCCGGACTTAAGGACCTTACGTGGCAAAACAAACAGCTCGGGTGTGACGGCGCCATGTTCTTCAAGTCCCAAGTGTATTTGGGAGGTCGGCCCCTGGTGTTCATTTGGATTATTAGAGGGGGTTGTTGGGGAAGGAGGCTGCAATATTGTGATGTGAGGTTTTTGCCAAAACAAGACAGAAAGCATTTAAAAGTAAGTCACACAACCCAGGAGTCCTCCCCTTGGGACTTCAGCCTTGAATTGGTGCTGTTGGCAGCCTTCAGTCATTACCGATTACCCGAATTAGCTGTTTTGTCACTGCTGGCTGGACCTAGAGGGGACCTGCTGACAGGCTGCATGTGTGAGCATGTGTGGGCTTGCTTGTCACTTCCTTCCAGCAGCCTGACTTACCGCAGACTGAAGGACTTAGACTTCTCTTCTCTCTTAAATCCTAGAGTGCAGTGTGAGGAATAGCCATGCCTCTGTACGCATGCTTCAGTCAAACTATTCAGGAAAATATATTAGGCCTGTGCTCACCCCAGGCGGCCATTTGTCTCTGTCTTCGTTCCCTACACAATTTTTGTAGCCTTTTCATTGTCTGAGGCATTGTACGTCATCTAGAGGGGATTTAAAGTATACAGGAAGTTGTACGTGAGTTCTGGGCAAGTAGTGTCATTCTTTGTTAGGGGCTGAACTTGTAGGATTTTAGAATCCGTGGGGATAGGGAAGGCTCTGCAGTCGTTCCCCGTGGATGCAGAGGGATGGCTGTCCATGTCTGAACGATGCCCAGGTGCCGCTGTCACTCTTGTTCAGGGCACTGAGGCTGCTTCCGTGAGGTCAGAGTGAGCTGCAGTGTGGTTGAGCCAGATGATGGTCGCATGCTCCTTGCTGGTGTTTGACACTGACATCTTAGTCAGTGTGTGGCCCACAGGGAGGAAGGGACTGTTGGCGGGCTAGCTGTGAACACCTCTTCTCATCCCCTCACCCCACCCTCCTTTCAGGGATGTGTCCTCCGAGTCAGACAATAACATCAGGCAGATCAACCAGGAGGCCGCACACCGGCGTTTCCGCTCGCGGAGGCACATCAGTGAAGACTTGGAGCCTGAGGCCTCGGAAGGCGGTGGAGAGGGCCCTGAGGTATGATGCTGGCAGCTGAGCAGCTCCATCTTCCCACGAGCCCCAGGGGGATTTTGTATCCCATTTTCTCCTCTCAGTAAACTGTGGATTGAGTGTGAAGATTGTGACCTCATAACTAATTGATCCCCATCTGAGTGTTAGTTAACTTGGAAAATGCGTGTGGACCCCATGTTCAGCCAAGGCTTGTATAAATATCAAAGGGAGAACATTTTTTTCTCGTATGAAAGTCTTCCATGTTTCTACTTAATGACTGGTTTATCCCAGGATCTAACCAATCTCACGAAACAACACGAAGGTTGCCATTTTTGAGGAATCGAGTGAGCTCTGACACTTGTTCGGGTATCACGGATGAGTTTCCAATAACTGTGTACCACCTTAGGAGAGGTTACCAAAAAATGTGCAAGTTTGAGTTAGTAGGAATTTACTGGGAAAGGAGACGAATTAAGCGACAAATGAGAAATAATTCTAACCCGATGCCGATGACACTGGTCGTTGTGTTGACCGTATGTTGGGAAGTCATTCATGAAACTTGGCAGCGGCCCATATTAGGGCAGTAAGTTAGTGATGCCACAGGAGATTCCCGAACCGTTCTGCAGCATCTCAGCTGTTTTCATTAAGAAATCCCACAGCGGCTAGAAAGGAAAGAGAAAAAAAAAAAAAACATGAAAATTGCTTGTAAATTCTTGGGGCGTTTCTAATCCATTTGTAATAGAGGCTGGCAGAGAGCTGCGCTGTGAAGTGTGTACCCCTAAGGGGTGAGATCATGGCCCCTGGGCCCGCTCCTTCACACCTGGTCACACCCCCAGTTAATTGCGTACGTCAGCAGTTTGCTCTCTCAGCTAAGTTTTCCTGTCTGCTGATTGGGACAGTGCTTCTGTCTTCCCCATGCTTATTCCTAAAGATCCTGTGCCCCTTGCTGTTAATTAATTAATAACGGTATTAATTGCCGTTATCCTGATGGTTATGGATGTTGTGTGCTTTACTGGAGGGAAGACCGCTAAATCCCCAATTCCTAGCACTTAATCTACTTTCTCTTTCCTCCAAAGCCTTGGGAGACCATTTCAGAGGAAGTGAACATGGCAGGAGACTCTCTTAGCCTGGCTCTGCCCCCACCTCCTGCCTCCCCAGTGTCTCGGACCAGCCCCCAAGAGCTGTCGGAGGAACTGAGCAGAAGGTTACAGATCGCTCCAGACACCAATGGGGAACAGTTCAGTTCTCTGATCGTAAGTCATGGTCTTGTTAGAAAAGCTGAGCGGTAGTCGGTCCTTTGTTGTTGCGTTAGGAGACTTTTGTATACTGATAATGGCAAGGGCAGTGGTCAGTGGTTCTCAACTTGGGGGTTGTGACCCCTTTGAGGTCAAATGGTCCTTTCACAGGGGTCACCTAAGATCATCCTGCATATCAGGTATTTACATTACAGTTCATAACAGCAGCAGAGTTACAGTTATGAAGTAGCAATGAAATAACTTTATGGTTGGGGGGTCACATGAGGAACTGTATTAAAGGGTCATGGCGTTAGGAAGGCTGAGAACCACTGGCCAGTGGGTCTTCCATACCCAGTCAGCCCAGGTTCTCCCAAGATTCCCCTTCCCTAAGAGAGGCGGGTCTATATGAAAATTTACCCTGGCAGGTAAAAATCTTTTTGTTTAGAAAGAAGTGGTTTATCAACAGCTCTTTTTATTATTTATTCTGTGAGTTCTAGCTTTAACCTTGTAGAATTTCTTTCCCATTCACAAGGCTCGTGAAAGTAGTGTCTTCGTCCTGAGGGCAGTTGTCCTGTTGAGAAGCGGGAGCCCTAGAGCCTCCCAGCCAATCTTCTAAACTCATAGTCCACACACCTTTGCGTCCTAGCTCACAAATAAGTAGGGCCAGATGTGTAAGCGGTTGCCCCTGGGAAAGCCTGACTAGGCTGTAGAAGATACCCAGAAACCCAATCTAGGAACTCTGGAGGAGAAAAAGTATGAAACTGTGGCCCGGACATCACAGTAGCACTTGAACTTGGGGTTCATCTCAGCCATCAGAGAAATACTTTGCAGAAGTCTCGGGTCAGTGAGAAGGAATGAAATTGGTCACAAGGAACTTTGCAGTTGATAGTGCAAGACTACAGGAAAAGCCCACAGACCATTCGTGTGTGTGTGGTGTGTTGTGTGTGTGTGTGTGTGTGTGTGTGTGTGTGTGTGTGTGTGTGTGTGATTAAGACCAAATGCATACACCATGTTTCTCTGGCAGCTGGACTTATATAGATGTCCTGGAGAAAATGATGATAGTTCCTGTGTTGGAATGGCATTCTCATATGATAGTCGTTCTTATGAGCATTCTGAATGTAAACAGCAGAAGGGCCACGCAAAGCGTACAAGCCACTGCGTACACGATTATGAGCCCTTTCATGGCGGGGTTCTCCTTCTAAAAGAAACTGCCGGCCCCTGTCACATGAGTCACAGGGATTTCTTCTTGATGTGCTTTCGCATTAAAATTCTATGAATGTTTTTCCAAAAGAGAAATAGCACTGAGATGAAAATCTAAGTGGATAGAAAAGAGGTTGCATATATAAGATATTTGACTGGGTAAAAGTGTTGCTATGGAAACAGCCTAAGCCACCAAGCCATGTATTTAAAATGTATCAAAGAAAGAATTGCTGAAATTATAGCAGCTATATACCATTTATATAAACCATGTGGGAAAAGCTCCTAGTTTTCTCTGTTGACGTAAATTAGCATTTGTCACAGTTAGAGCAGGGAGCTCTTGCGTTTAGCATTTCCAGAAGCATGGCATATTAAGACCCAGGTGTGATAGCACATCCTTAGGGAGCTTCCTCTGATTTTGATGCTTGAGACCGCTGTGTCTTCAGGGCAGTGGGTCTAACATTTTGCTCAGGAACGACTCCTTGACACTGCCCAGTGTGGGAAGGTGGGCGTTGTCCCTGTTACCACCACAGAGCTCCGCTGCCTTTAACTTCCTGGGCGTTATTTTAAAATAGTAAAAGCCACATGTGCTACAAGCTGTACCGTGGGATAAGCGTCACTGGTAAGGAATCTGTGACTTCTGTCTGTGACCTTCGAGTATCATCATTCAGATTGACGAGGCTTTGTTTAACCACCAAGAATTCAAATTAGTGAGAGGAGCCTTCTGTGTGACGCACAAGACGGTCTTTAGATTTGCCTCCCCCTCTGCTCCACTTGTGGTCTGTACGGAAGTTCCACTTGGAAGTTAAATATAAAGCCCTGCCTATCGCAGGAAGGAGGGGATGATGTCTGAATGCAGCTGGCTCGGCAGTGCAGCGACCTCACTGTGAACAGTGCGAGTAGCTGGTCAAGGGCCATGTGTCACCTTTTGGTCCCTCTTTTCCTCTGTTCGTCACACTTGAGAGTTTGCCCGGAGCTGGCATCCCAGGCAGTGTACAGGACTGCTGACCTCTTGTTACTCTTGAATGTTGTGGGGACCTGTCTCTTTTTCCCTTCCAGTAGTCCTGGTCTGTGGGGAAACAGAGACTTGAAATAGAGATCCGCAAGGACTCCTGTCCTTGTTCTGAAAGAAGTGGTGCTTGATTGCCTCCTGGTGTTAGAGAGCTGTGCAGGATATCCCCTTTAACCCCGCCTGTCTTTTCCTTCCCTGCAGCAGAGAGAGCCCTCGTCGAGGCTTCGGTCCTGCAGTGTTACCGACACGGTTGCTGAGCAGGCTCACCTACCACCGGTAATAAACACTCGTTTCCAGTCCTCAGCTTTTTTTTTTTTTCCGGCTTTGATTCAGAATCGTCAGGGCTGCTGAGAAAGAGTTTTTCCTGTGTAGATCCATTCACCGTATAAAGCAGGACATTTGAAACTTTCTGGGTAAATTGTGCAAGGATCTCGACTTCCCAGCCCAGAATCCTAACTGCCAACCACATTTCTAAACTGCTAAAAACGTGCTTTGGTTTCTCACTGCAAAGAATGCATTTCTGACGTGCTTATATTACTGAAACTACGTGGTCCATTCAACAGCTATAGCTCTGGTCCTGGTATCTGAACTCTGCAGACTCATTGATCAGGAAGAACTCTTCCAGCAAGACAGCCTAAATTTTACCACTACCCAGAGTGCCTGTGCTAACTACAAAGGCAACCCCATGAATGAAATATCAGCTGCCATTTGCCCCTTCCTTCCTATGGCTGTGATAAGTCTGAGTGCCCATCACGTGGTAGAGGGGTTTTCCATTCCAATAATATACTAAATATCAAATTGGTGGGCAGATGAGAATTGCCTAGTAAGAACGAATTGACAAAAAAAAAAATGTTTTTCTTCTTTGGGAGGTGAAAATTTTCTGCAGTTATTTTAAATGTTCAATTTGATATTTGACGTTGGCCTTTTATTTGTTTGGTTTTTGTGGGTTTGTGGGGGAAGTGGGAGTTAAGACAGAGTCTCGATCTATAGCTCGGTCCAGCCTGGAACTCTAATTGTATACTCCAGGCTAGCCTTGGGCTTGCGACAATCTCCTGCTTTCCCCTCCTGAGTGCTGAGATTACAGGCATGAGCCGCCTGCCCCCTTTTTTTTATTGCTACAAATCCTCTTTAATGACCTGCTTCATTGTGTATGAACTTGAAGACAGGCCACAGATTTGAAATTTTTGAAACCATCTTCCTCGTCATAAACATTTTAACCTGACGTCAAAGGACATTTTTGCCTAAATGAAGTGATGATGTATGCCAGTCAAAATCAGAAATTCAGTGGTGGAGTCCACCGTGAAGGCTGGCTAATAACAAGCTGAGGTGGATTCAGTGCAGACCTCCCAAAGCAGAACCATACACTGGGATGAAGCGGTGGGGGCCCTTCTCACACTAGTGATTCTGTGATTTTCTGGTAGAAATTAATTGCACTTGCTCTCCTCTTCACAATCAGTGTCAATTTTGTTTGCCATGGAGACCGTGATTCCACCTTCTCTCCATGTCCAGAAGGTGCCGTGCACTCACTGACCACCAGTGGCCTCTCAGAGATTTGCAGATAAAGAATCTAAGATCTGGACTGTGGAGCACAAAATATCCCACTTGAAGTGGTTGCTGGTCACCCCTAGTGAGGATGCAGCCTGAGCGTCTTTGGGGTGATATGGTGGTCCAGAGAGAGCCCGTGTTATTATGCTCTATTTTTGCTGCTGGTCATTGGTGTGTGCTCAGCTTCATTTGGACAAGGTGGATAATTGGGGTTCCTGATCTCACGTCATCTGCCACAGCATCGCCACAGAGTGATTCCTGCTTCACTAAGCAGTAGATGGTTCCCCCAAATACAAGTTACTGATATACATTATTGTTTAACAGCCCAGCACCCCAACTAGGCGAGCGCGTTCATCAACTGTCACGGGTGGTGAGGAACCAACGGTAATAACACAAGTTATGGGACCCTAATGGTGAAGGACTGTGGGGTAGTTTAGTATGTTGGTTATGGTGGATATGTTTCCTCCCATTATCAAATAAGGTCAGTTTCTATGTGGGTACAAAGACATATGTGTTTCTTATCTTCAACTTATCATTTTGAATTCTTCAAAGGTCCTGGATAAAATGGAATCAGTTTTTAATCCTATTAAAAGTATTGTCGAGCCTGGTTACATGTGCTTAATCCAAGCATTTCAAATACAGCTTTGTCGGTAGCTAGAGAAGCTACAGGAATCATCCAGGGCTGTGCATGTGTCCAGATGTGCAAGAGGCTGTGTGCTCTCTGTTCTCCATACCACATTTTTTAATAGGGGGCCATATTTTTTCTGTATCTCCATCATAACCAGTAACCTCTTTCTGCCACAAGGAGTTTGACTCGCAGGAACGGACAAGTGTTTTTACATTTCCAGGGCAGGAAGCAATTAGAATATTTCAATGCAAGTATCTAATATTGTTATTATTATTTCCTTATTTTGATTGGTAGTATTTATGCTTGTATGTGACTTCAATTTGAGTAGTTATTTTCCTTGTGTTCTACTTGATCCTTGCAGTCAGGCAGGCCCGTATTTGATGATTTGAGCTTAGATGACCATTTGAAGAACTTCCTGTAGTATTCCACCCTTGTCACATACACTGTGGCTACTTACTAGTGATGAATGACTTTAACTATATACACAATAGCCGATTTCCTGAAGCATGTTTAGCCCTCCATGTTACACAAAGGAAACTCACATTGGCCATCAGTGCAGCAAGCACAGTGTAAGGTTGCTAAGCCACTGTGGCCTACATAATATGCATGTACTGGAGATCCAGGCTCCCCACCTCCAGCAGGATTCAAAGAAGTTTACACGGAGTAGTTGATTTTCTACTATGTGCTGGTAGTTTCTCTGAGAAAGTGGGGCTGCAGGGCAGACCATTCCATGGTATGGTTTTGTTTCGTGATACCCATAAACATCCCTTTGTAATGAAGCAGCTGTTTTTACGTTCAGTTGGATTCGTGACCTGCTTAAAGCTTCGGAGTGTTGGGATGGCTAATGATAGCAAGTAACAGAGTGGTGCCAGACACTATGGTAAAAATATTCCTGACAGAACAAGGTCATCCATCAGAAGGAAAGCCCACGTCACTCTGGGCTGCACTTTTCTTGCCTGTGTTCTCCTCCATCCGTGAATTAAAACATGGGTTGGGTTTGGTCTTTTGTTTAAGACTTTGCAATGGAAGTTGCTAAGTGATTCTCCCACCCTGATGTGCCTGGCTTTCTCAGGACCTGGATGAGTGTGAAAGGACCGAGTCCATTTCCCTTCCATCCCCTCTATGTCCTGTTCTGTCTCCTAGCATGGTTTTTTCTCTGACCGCCTCTTTGATGCGTGTGCCAGGCAGACACGCCCTGTAATGTGTCACCTCGCTCCTCCCTGTACTCTCCCAAGCGTGCATGTGCTGCAGTTACGCGCACAGCTCTGTTTCGTTGTGTTTAGGAGGGAAGCACCAGTACGATGTTGCCTACATCATGCTCAGCGAACTGTTTTTAACTTACATTGATTTTTCTGGGCTCTGTTATTAGTCATTTAGTATTCGGTGATGGAAGTGTGCTACAGTTTCTACACTCTTCTCTCGTTGGAGGGCATTCCCATCTCCGGTGTGTTGTGGTAGCCATCCTTCTCTGTAAACCCTCTCCCTACACTGTGATGAAGCACGGAGCCTCATCCAAGGAATCGTGGCCCTTTGATTTATGGCAGAAGCCTGTAGACCCAGAGTCACTTTCCTGCAGGCTCCACCAGGGCTCTCCCTTTCCAACAGAAAGCGAGAGAGTCCTTTGATCTTCTCTGAAGAGATTCTAAAAATATCCTGAAATACCACTATGGCAGGGTCTGGGTGAGTCATGGAGAATCTATGATGGCAAGTGTCAACAGATAGTCAGATTTTTTTCAGCGTAAACATAGTCTGGTTCTTCACTGTAGATAGTGAAATTGAAGTGAATGGCTATTTGGAATCATAAGGCTCAGCAGTATATTTGGTCTATGGATGAATTTCATAAACAGAAATGTTCAGCTTGTGTTTGTTTGCCTAACATGTTTCTCCAAGTGCCCTGAAGCATACTGTTATTCACATACAGTAGTAAAAGTAGAATCTTTTGGCCCCACGCCTGGGCCTCTTGCACAGAGCTGTCTGGAGAAGCCGAGTCTTGTCATTGCTGGCCATGTGTCCTGGATGGCCGTGTTTTAGTCATAAATGGAATCGTCAACACAAGTTGTTATACGTGCCCATTTAGAGAGGACACCGTCAAGAAATATTTAGTAACAGCATCTTATATAGATGTGGCTACATTAGCAGTTGCCTGTTCAATTCCCAGGAGAACGATCATTATAGACAAAGTCAGCGTTCTCTCTGCTGTCCTCCTGGTTCTGTGAACTAACTGGTCATGTTAACTGTGGATCTGTGCATGAAACCTGAGCTCAGGGAGTTCTTGCAGCTGGCAGTTCAGTTCTCAGATTAGGAAACATCCAAGTCGTTCAGTTTGTCAGTTCAAAAGTATCTGTTCCAGGAATGTCATTGCTATTTGTTAAAGTCTTAATGTTTCTAGAAATGAATTTTCTGAGAACATATCAAAATGCCTCTCCCCCAGAACATAACTCATCAAGAAAGGAGAAAAGTGACAGGTGCCATTTAATAGTCCTTGTAGTTAAACCAGTTTTGGTTATATAAGTCATGGTAAATCAAAGGGTATTTTGCCAAATAGGTTTTAACCTATTTGCTTAGGTGACAGTACATCAGAGTTTTGGCCAGTCTAGGTGAAAGTCCTTGGAGGGAGGCAGAGTTTTGTTGCCAGTGTCCTCATTAGGCTGTGGACTACTTGGTCTGTCTCTCATGGTCATAAGAACCTGACATCCGTTGTCTTGTTCCTGGATACAGAATGCTGTGTAGTTAGTTGTTCTTGGAATTCCCTTATCCTTTAGGGTTTGCCTGGGAAAATGTCAAGATGTTTGCCGCATTTCTTTGCAGGAAGGTTCTTTACACATGCTCTCTCCTTGCCTGATAAACATGGTGTCGAAATAACCACGAGTCAGTTGCTTCCCAGTTAGTGTTCAGGTTAATTTTTCTGGAGTCTCCTGTTCAGCATGGGGAGCAAACAAAGGAGCCTCTTTGCTTGCAGTCCTTAGTTACTGAAATGTACATGTTCTTGCTTCCTCTAACTTAGGGTCCCAGGTCCACTGACGACTCTCTGGTTATGACGTTCACCAAAGCAGTAGAAGTGAGCAGAGAAGCTAGGTCAGGAACAGAAAAGAGGCCCAGTTATGTGATCAGCCTAATTCTAAGACAGCAGCACCTGCTGAGGTATTTAGAGGGCTGGTGGGAGAAGACCTCACTGGGGAAGACAGCACTCAGAGCAACAGGGATCCTGTTCCTCTACTTCCCAGAAGTCTCAGTGGCCCTGGTGGGTCTTTCTGAGCCTCTCCCCTAGAGCGCTGCTTCCCCAGCACAAATGCATGGCACAGCACCATGTGTGCAGACAGCCCTGAGCATCCCTAGGCTGGTGCTGGCCCTGGGCATCCCTTTGCTGTCAGTCATTCCACCATCCTGTATCTTCTAATACCCGTTCACCCACACTATACTTCTCGGGCTGCTTTTTTCACAAACCAAAGTCTCAGTAATTCTTTATATGAAAAGATGAAATCCATACTGGGTTTGGTAGCACATGGCTTTAATTCCAGCACTGGGGAGGCTGAGGCAGGCTTTCTGTGCGTTCAAGGATAGCCTGGTTTACGTAGTGAGTTCTGGGCCTGCCAAGCCTACATCGTGAAACCCAGTCTCAAAAAAAAAGAGAGAGAGAGAGAGAGAGAGAGAAAGGAAGGAAGGAAGGTGGAATTTGCATTATCCAAATATAGTCCAAACTGTACATCACAGACCTGGGAAGATAGACTATGCCATTACACTGGTATAAACAGAACCTCTAATAGGGGGCTCCACAGACATGACAGGGTCCCTGTAGATGATGTCCCCCATACAGAAGTGCAAGTCAAAGAGGAAAGGTTCTTTGTCACATTTTGCCCTGGAAGTTTGTGTACACTGGACCTCGGGAAGAACTTTGTGCTGAGCATCTGTGGTAGCCAGCTCTCTAGAAGCATCTAGAACATTCCTCTTGCAAGCATAAGAGTTTGGTCACCTTGAAATTCTCTTTCAAGCTATGTGGTTTAGCAATGAACTTTAGCAACCGGACCAGGTTATGGCACATTCTCTTTCTCTACAAACACCTTAGTGGTGATTGTATTTAAGACCTCCAGGTCTAAGAGCCGGTTTTTGTAAGAATGTGAATCCCAGCCATCTCACAATCTGTACAATTTGTTCCTGACTTCCTGATTGCTCTTTGTAAGTGGGTTATGGGCTTTGTTTTGGTTCTGTTTGTCTGGTTTTTTTGTTTTGTTTTGTTTTGATTTTTCCTCTACAAACAGCATTAACTTATCTTGCCCAGAGAAATATACTTTCTAGGTATATGTTACATTGTTGAACTGGTCAGAAGACAAATTTTAGTTGTTAAGTAATAATGATTTCTTGCACAAACAGCCATCAGTGGCCTATGTACATACCACGCCGGGCCTCCCTTCAGGCTGGGAAGAAAGAAAAGATGCTAAGGGACGTACATACTATGTCAATCATAACAATCGAACCACAACTTGGACTCGACCAATAATGCAGGTATGAAGATCACCATCCAACCCAGGCTCAAGGGCCGAGATGTACTGACCAGCAACATCCTGACCTGATGATGCTAATGTCCTTTTCTGAAAGGCCTGTGTTTAAGGCCTCTTGTCACCAAAGACATGTGTTGCTCTCGGTAGAATGAATATTTGCCTGAGGATGACTTTGGTCCTTAGATACATTTATTTTAGTGTGACCTCAAAGATACTTTCAGAAAATGAGCCTATGGCCGTAGATAGCTCCCTTCCCCCACTCCCACATCCCTTCTTTTCCCAAGGCTAGTTTTTATACTGGCCAGTGATTTGTTGTTATTTCTCTTGAATGTGTCTCCCCATCTTTACCCCCATTATTAGGTTTAATTATTTCCTCCATGCTGTAAATAGACCAAACCTTTCATTATGGCTCTGTGTGTTGTTGTTGTTGTTGGGGTTCATGCTCCTCATCACACACAGGGATATCCTCATACAAAGCTAACCTGTTTTTGCCTCCAAAATAGCTTGCAGAAGATGGTGCCTCCGGATCAGCCACAAACAGTAACAACCACCTAGTCGAGCCTCAGATCCGCCGGCCCCGTAGCCTCAGCTCGCCAACAGTAACTTTATCTGCCCCACTGGAGGTGAGAAGGCCGCCTCATCTAACCAGGGTCATCTCTGTCCTGTGGCTCCTCTTCATTTGCTATTCTCTCTAAACTGGACTTCATTCCTCAGGCAGCTCCATGCCGAGCAGTTGCGGGTTGGTGGTGAAGGCTGGCCTGAAACTGCGTCCATGCTTCTGTGCCTTGCCCCGCTAACATTCTAGACTCTGTCATAATCTTCATTCTCATTTGGCTGGTGCCACGCTTGGTGACGGGTGCCGTTCTCTGCTGGTCTTGTACCATTCCTGTTGTGTTTGCTCCCTCATCAGAACCCATAACTCTTCCAAGTAGCAATGCTTCTGTTGAGTTGTAGAACGCAGTTACTGCTTTGTTCATTTTTTTTCTTTGAATGTAGGGTCTTCCATTGTGTGGGTACATGTCTCTAATGTGTATTTTCATCTCTTAAGTCATTGCTGGACATCTGCTTGTGCGCTTTCCTGGTTATGTTTTAGTGGCATCCCTAAACCTCACAAATGTCGCTCAGAAGAGCGAGGGAATTGATGAGTAAATTAAAGTATCCTGAGGCAAGCTCCTACACAGTGAGAGTGGATGAGGGCACTTCTAGACTGGTGGGAATGTGGGGTGACAGCTGTCGTTCCAGGTGGCTGCCTCTACCGATGGAGGTGTCCTTTTGGACCCTAAAACCCAGCAGTGTGTCCATTAGACAAAAGGCTGTTTGAGGGCAGGAGCTCATCCTGCTCACCCTGAAATCTCCACCCATAAAAATGGTATTTTGGGCAGGCATGTTTGGCAAAGAATCGTGACTATTCATCCTTGATACTGTTGCGTATCTAACCAAGAGAAAGGTGTAAGCTTAGGTTGGTTTGAAAGTAAATGGAGAAATGGGGTTTGGGGGAGTCTCTCCCTCGTCGCTGTCCAAGGAAGAGCTTCCTGCAGTACCGACTACATTGTGGCATGTTGAATTGGCACATGGTGAAGAGTTCTAACACTCGTTATTGTTCCTTAGGGTGCCAAGGACTCACCCATACGCCGCGCTGTGAAAGATACCCTTTCCAATCCACAGTCCCCTCAGCCATCACCTTACAACTCCCCCAAACCACAACACAAAGTCACACAGAGCTTCCTGCCACCAGGCTGGGAGATGAGGATAGCTCCAAACGGCCGACCCTTCTTCATTGACCATAACACAAAGACTACAACTTGGGTAAGGCTGCTGCTTTTATTTGCCTCCATTTTCACCATGAGCTCCGGTGAATTCCTTTCTTTTCTGACTCGGTACTCGTGGTTCTGGTGGAGGAGTTTCTTCACCAACTCTGAAGCAAGTATCCTGATGTGTGGGTGCTGTGTCTGTAGACACAGATGTTAGCCACTGGGGTACTGTACCAGCTTGGCAGTTCTGGAAAGCTCTGGTTTTATTCATTTGTTCCGTTTGCGGGGGCAAAGGTGGCCTTGGCGTTACTAGTCTTTTGACTTCATTTTATCACACCCCGTGTTGTTGGTAATTGTATTGGGAATTAGGTAACGTCTTAAACTAATGTTTTCTCTATCTCTTTTTGCTATACACATCTTCTACAAGAAGAGTCATTTTCTCTCTAGTGCTCATTTCAGATCAGCATTTTCTCTTCCTGGGCTACACTTCCTTTCTTCTCCATGAACTAAAAGATTGTGTGTATGACTGCTGTTCGCAGGGAACATTTTGACAAAACTGACTTCTCTTGCCATGCTGCTTGCTCTTTCACGTGTTCTGAAATCCCGCGTGGGAAAGAGCCAGTGTGTCGCAGTTGGGAGAAATGCGATGAAGTCCAGGTGCATGCCCCCGTGTCCCCCAGTCAGCTCTCCGTTTCAGCATAGTCAGAGCGAGCCCTTTTAAGGCAGCATAGAGTTCTTTTTAAAAGTCAGTAGTCCTCTGTCACATAGTCCCTAGCCCTGTCCACTTGGTTTGGATGCAGCAGAAACTTCGTTTTCCTGCCTGTCTAATCTGATCATATAGAACAAGCTCGGGGATTAATGGTGCCCTTTCGGCATCTATAATCTTCTTGCTCGGAGCTCACGCGAGTGTTTCCCTGGGTTGCTCTTCCGTCCTGGACCAGCTGTACACACAGGCACTCTCAATTCCTGTTTCTAGTTGTGGTGACTGTCCAGCTGATGGGACAGCAGTATTATGTTAAAGAAAGGGCTTCACCCAAGGTGACCCTGGCCTGGCTATCATTTACACTCAGTCTGTGGTGTAATGTTAATTCAATCCCTTGAGAATTGGTCTAGAGGGCAGTGTGATCCTGAAGTCCTGTGGACAGAGGTGCAGTGTGTCCCCACAAGGGCATTCTTGGCCACTGGGGTAGGCCTGCGCCTTCCTCGGTGGTATGTTTAACGTCCTTGGCTTCCACCACTAAGTAGCTACCATCACCCTCCCGCTATACTGATGATCAGAAACTCAGCCGAATTTCCAAATACTCCACAGTGAGAACCGCTCTCAGGGCCCTTCCCTGATTTGCAAAAAAGGAATTTACTTACCTGCCAAGAGCCTCCCCATCAAGATCTGATGACATTCACTTGGTAAGCTGATAACTACCTCTAAGGCATGGAATGACGTGGAGGTTTGTTTGACTCACCTTCGAGTCAGAAGATAGCATTACAAGCTTGTGGGCTGGGAAGAAGAGAGGAGCTCTTTGGCAAATGGAACCGTGGAGATTGGTTTGAGGTCTTTTTATTTTTTATTTTTTGTCACTGACACAGAACCTCGGCTGTCTTTCTGGTGTTTCCATTTTCCGCGGCACTACTGGGGTTCCAAAGCTTTAGCCAGAAACTGGAGCTCCAGAGATACGGGATAAATATCATAAAAGTCAGAGGATTAGTGAATGGAGCCACTGTGGCTTGCCAACATAAGCTATGATTTTAGTAATGTGAACTAGCTTAGTAATCAAATCCCCTAACCTTTTCACAGCCTTCACGCCCCAGCTGCAGTAAGTGCGGCTGGGCAGGTTTCATTTTAAATAGCACTGACTTTATTTATTGCTGGCACCGGTGCCAAATGAAACCTGCTCTTAATTACCAGTTATCTCTTTTTAACCCAGATTCTTACTATTGATTTGCCCAGTTGGGCACTTAATTTATTAGAACATTTCATTGCTGCTGCCATTGGAAATGCTTATGCCACAGCTGGGAATTCCTCGTTGCCTGTGTTAACTAATGCAGACGGAGACACCATTCAGCATTGTCACCCTGAAAAGCAGATTCAGAATTGCCTGTCCACCTCGGCAAAGAATGGGAGGAGGCAGGAACAGAAAAGACACTTTCTGGATTCAGGCCTATGCGCAGTTGGCATTATGAGGTTACTCAATGGCTGGATAGAATCCCTCTGAGTGTTCTAACAGAAAAAGGAAAAGCAACCCTGGGAACAGTGAGAATATCCCTTCTTCACCCTTCCCGCTGTACTGTAGGTTCTTGAACTTCACTGGGGGCATGAGAAGGCGCAGGCCACTGTCCCCATTACGTACACTGAGAGACTGAGAGTCGATTGAAGCGTATCTACAGCACAGCCTTTACACATGCAGGTGATGGAGGCCGCGTGCCAGCAGTCTGACTGGAATTAAATCTGACCACGTTTTTAAAAATTAATAATAATGGATGGCTTTGGCCTCGCCAACAGCAGTGCATGCTGGGAGTCCCTAGGGACCTCGGCCTTCGCACCCCTCTTATTAAGGGAACAGCTGGAAGCATGCATGTTGGTGTATTGATGCCTCTCACAGGACAGGGCACCAAGCAAGCTGCTTCACAACAGCGCACTGTATGCCTTAAATTACAGCTGCCCACGTTTGCACTAACAAAACCGACCGTAGCCTAGGTGTGATTGCTGAGAATAAAAGAAAAAAAGCATACAGGATTTTTTTTAACCAATTTGTATGCCTGTATTTTATGTATTTTTTTAAATCAGAAAATACCTTTTATTCTCTCTCTCTCTTTCCCTCTTTCTCTCTCTCTAATACACACACACACAACACACACACCCTTCCCAAAGGAAATGGAGGAATAGCCAAGTGCATTTCATCATCTGCATGATTGCTTTCTGCTCCTACCAGCGAAGATCTCATTCGTAACCCAACCTTACCATTACTTCAGTATTGTCTGTCAGTGCTCTCAGGCCTTAGCTGCCTTGTCACGTGTCCGTCAGCTACAGAGGTGCCTACCTCCTTGAGTTGTCCAAGGGACAGTGGCTTCGGTGGTTCTTACCACATATCCCTTACAGATGGACTTCTGGCAGCTGCAGCCATTATTTTGATTATTGCTGGTACAATAAAATATGAGTCCGTACCCCGGGGCCTGCCCGTGCTCTGAAGTCTGGTTTCCATGCAGAGCCGCTTTAGCCGCCCTGCAAAGCTGAGCTGTTGTAATGTTCTTGCTCCCTTCCCTTTCCTCCCCCAGGATCGGGTATTTCCATTCATTAGTTTCTCTTTCTTCTCTGTGTCACCTCTCTGTGGCCTGCAGAGCCAGTCGTCCTTTACGGCTGACTTCACTCATGGCTGGCCTTTCCTGTTAAAGTACCCAGAATCCCCACTTCCTAACAGCTCCCTAGGCTTTCTGTAAACCTGGCTACTTGGGATCTCAAGGGTCCCGGGCAGCTGTGGCATCGCCTGTCCCAGACCAGAAGTAACATTAAATAGTACATCTTGTGAGGTTCGTTTAAGTCTTCTGTCCAGTTAACCACCTCCGGCTGATAGCCCGATGGTCCGCTTCTTGGCCTCTCTAAATGCTAAATCCTGGCATAATTCTGTGTGCCGCAGTACGCTACGCTGGGAATACGACATCTCAGCCTTTTGAAAGATGCATTCACTCCAGGGTCAGCATCCGTCACAAAGTACTCCGATGATTTATGTCTTCAATTAAGACCTTCTCTCGCTTTCAGAAAACGAGGCCACGTGTACCGTTTGTGCTCTTTGATATTCTTGCCATTTCCAAAACCCTCTGACTTTGTTATAATTCAGTGCCCCTGGCTTTCACCGTTGGTTCGGGAAATTGATGAAGCAGTAAACCTTCTGATAATTTGACGGCAGCGCAGCCTGCTTTCACTTTGATGAGATGGAGCTAGTGTGTCAGATGTCTCAGTGGTTTGCTTTTTACCTTGGGTTGACGGTGTTATTGTTGTGGTTGACTGGGCATCATTCTGAGTTTTATTGTTTTCTAATCTCTCAAGTGTAAGAGCCGTGGATTTTCTAAGCCTCATCGCATTCTAATTGGCTTCTATGTAAGTGAGGGGCAACTCCCAGCTCTGGCAAGTCAGTTGGGGGAGCTGGGTTTCTGATACTGTTCTCCTCAGCAAAAAGAAACATACACAAGGGATGTTGCAAGATTAGATGTCTATTTTTTTGCAAACCATAAACCATGACCCAAGATGTCAGAGTATATATTTCTCATCCATTGATCCCCACACATACAATGGCCTCACATCCTTTAAGGAAAATAATCTTATCAAGTTTTATGAATGAGAACCTAACCATCAGAACTCAGTCAGGAGTTTCATGCAGGTTGCCTGCTACCACACATATGATTTCATATGATGAAGCATTCCATCTCTAGAATAGCACATGGGCTATCTGGTTAGACAAATTCAGAAAGATTTGGGGACACCCAAGTACTAAGGAGTGCTGTTCTTAAAGAGTCAGTATTTAGAGACTGTGAACACTCACCCTGTCTCCATCTCTGGGGAACAGCCATGCATCCTCCATCCTGGTTGCTTTTCCTCCTGCATCTTGGCTAAGTCTTGAGGAAATAGTTAATCTTTCTTTGAAGTGTTTGTTCTTCTTTTCTGAGACATGGTAGCCAAGCTTCCTCTACCAAGCAGAAAGCTGGGATGTCTCCCAGGTGCCTGGAAACACGGAGGAAGGGAAGGTGCCAGTGAGGGTGCGCGGGGAGTCCCTCTTAACAGCTGCCATGTACATTTTTCCTGCAGGAAGATCCACGCCTGAAATTTCCAGTACACATGCGCTCAAAAGCATCTTTAAACCCCAATGACCTGGGCCCTCTTCCTGTGAGTATGCTTCAGAGACATGCAGTGGTCTGGAAATGTCTGCTTACCTTCTCAGAGTTCCTGGAGAGGTTGTATGTCTCCTCCAGGCTCTCTGGGTCCATTGGTCGTTATTCCTTAGAAGGGCTGATGTTAGGGCAGTCCGAAAGGCACATTATAGTGTATGCAATACCAGTCCTTGTAAAAGACGGCTTTTAATTACTAGCCCTTGGTAGAAGTTCACTTTTGATCTAGGACATGTACAAAAGGTGCACACTGCAGGTGCCACTTTTAGCAGCATGCATTTATTTTGTAACTTAGCAACCACCAGCTACAGCCATACTGCTAAGTCATAGGAACAAACCCGCGAATACACTGTGGAAGGAAAAGGCACCAATAACCACAGGAAATTAGTCTCCAAGTCCTTTAACCTGTAGTTTTTTTTAAAGTGTTTTTCCCTTTGTTGTGGATTCTTTATAAACCTCCGGGGGGGGGGGTGATTTTTGTTTTGTTTCACATTTTTGTTCTCTTTGGGAGCATGACATAATTTGGTCTGTACTGAGTTTGGATGAAACTTTTACTGTCTGCCTTTTTCTACAGTGCACCATCCATAAAAAATGCTGAAGGTGCAGAGAAAGGGTTGGGTTGGATTTGGTTTGGTTTTGATTTGGGGTTCTTGTTATTTTATTTATTTATTATTTTTTTAGACAGGCCAGGCCAGCCTGAAGTCAAAATCCCTCTGCTGTCACTTTCCACATGCTAGGATAGCTACGCAGACCGCTACGCCCAGCCTCTAGCATTGTTTGTAAATGGAAATGGTTATTCTCTTCTAAGGAAAAGAGCCTTGTTGTATGATAGACTATAGCAACCCTTGGGACACAGTTACGGGCTAGTCTTCATCTGTAAGATTCGCAGTTAACCCTCACAATTCCTGGAACCCACGTGCAAAGCTAGACTTGGCCATGTGCACACCTGTAGCCCCTGGTGCTGGGGGTGGGGGGCAGACTGAAGAGTCACTGGCGCTTACTGGCTGCTAGGTTAGCTCTTCTTAAAACAGGACACCCAGTGCCCTCCTCAGACTTCCACATGCATGGGCATGTATACCTGCATACACATGTGCACATACACACGCACATACAAACCCCCCCCCAAAAAAAAGAAAGTCTATTGTTTGACTCTTTTCTATTTCTGAGTCAGTAAGGCACGCTGACCTTATCTTAAAAAGTACCCAGATGTTAGGGCTGTGACTCAGCAGGTAAAGCACCTGCTATGGCAGTGTGGGGACCAGAGGTGAGAGCCTTAGAGCCCACAGCAAAGCCCACAGGTGATCCAGATGGGTGAGGAGGCAGAGACTCAATGCCCAGAACAGGCTGGCTAGCAGACCAGCCAGAAAGGAAAGCTCCAGGCTCTCTGAGACTACCTTCTGTGTTAGGATAGAGAGCCGTCAAGGAAGGCAGCAGACATCGACATCAGATCCCATACCCATTCCCACGCTTACGCATATGCACCTTCCTATATACACACCCAGATGTGTACGTAGAGGCAGGGAGGAAAGGCTGGTTGGTTGTCCAGAGCTTTCAGTTCTTCTGTTTAAATAGTGAGAGTCCTCAGCACTGGGCTACTCGGCCACTTAATAAAGCCACTGTGTGCTGTATGTGTAACCGAGCCCTCCTTCTCCTTCCCTGAAGTACACAGTAGGTGTTTTAACTAAATGAACTCTCCACACTGAACTCTTTAAAAATATATCTTAGATTTATTTTTATGTGTCTTATTGTTTTGCCTGGATGTGTATATTTATACTACGTGTATGCCTGGTGCCTACAAAAGTCAGAGGAAGGCATCAGAGCCATTGGAGCTGGAATCGTGGATGGTTTTGAGGCATTGTGTGGGTGCTGGGAGACAAACCCAGGTCCTTGGCAAGAGCATCAAGTGCTTTTAATGTCTGAGCCATCTCTCCAGCCCCCTTTTCTGAATTCTTGAACAGGTTACCATAGAACACCATTTCTGGTCCTTCATACAGGGAAAGCTTGAGCTGATGCGACTTGTTAGCTGTGCCCCCGAGTTAGCATTGTTTGACATAGTCCCCGTGTGAAAGTGTCCCTAGCAGGGAATAGGAAAGAAGAGTCCTGGAGAATTTAGTGTCGCCTTGGGTTTGGGAACCACTAACTGATGTCTCTCCTCTCTCCCTCGTTTTCCTGGATGCTAGCCCGGTTGGGAAGAAAGGATCCACTTGGACGGCCGGACGTTTTACATTGACCATAGTAAGTAGAGCCTGCTGTGCTCACGGATGTGACCGGGCACTGGAAGGGGAGGGTAACACACCGTGACAGTGAAGCTTTGTCATTTTACTCCCTGTCCAGGTAGCCAGGTGTTGTGTGGCGAGAATGAGCCCAGAGAGTCAGTGCCCTCATACGGTACTGTGCCTTCGCTCCAAGTCTGCCTCAGAGTAGTCCCTTGAGCTTTCGCCCAACCTGACCTTGTGACCTATTAACTTTTTTTTTTAATTAAAAATTTTTCATTGACAGTCCTTTTATTTTTTTTTGCGCTTTTAATAAGTACACTCTGGACATAGAAAATAAGATTAGAAGTGATGATTTAGTTTGAAACAAACAAATCCACGTGAGCGGTGTTCTGGGCTGCATATGCTTTCGGAACCCCGCCTTGGCGGAGTGCCCGTTCTGACCTTATTTTCTATCGTAGCATGTGGCCTTGCACCTGGCACACTAATGATACGTGTAGTGTATTTGCTGAGGACGTTTGCTTTAGCACCTGTGGATACACGTGTGCTTTCTCATCTCATCTAAAAGTTAAACTAATCAATGTTTGCTTTTAGCCAGAGAGTTGGTTTTGAAGGGTTGGGGGAGGGGGAGGGCAGGGTTCATTCTTGAGACAGTTTGTTCTTCATGGAATTATATTTGTATATCCCTAAAACTTTGGGAGGGAGGGAGGGAAGGAAGGAGGGTGGGAGGGAGAGAGAGAGCAAAAAGTGTAAAATAAGGCTTCAAACAAAGTTCAAATCCGAGCGCAGTCAGCAGTATTTAGTTCTGTGCTTTCATTTAATCCGTAAGCAGGAAGCGAGCACAGGTCTCAGGTTTTGATAAATGAACAGAGAGTATACTGATGAGCCTTTTGTTGAGAAGTCTCACCCCAGGCAGTGCTCACACACAGGCTGGTGGCCATCTCAGCAGGGGGGGTTGGGTAACTCCTCCCAAGTGTCACAAGGGGCCTTAGTATACTCCAAGAACTTGCCTTCAGACATGAGGATTAGTGGGTTTGAAGTCGATGAGAAGGCCCAGCCAAAACCCAGAATATTTAGGGGGTTGGGCCACCCTTGAACTTAAGTCAGATTATTTCAAGCTATATAAACTTTGATTTTTGTCTTTGTTCAGAAAAACAAATGCTGGGTTATGTACTTTCCAGCACCGTACTGCGAGCCTATCGTTGTCAACACAAACACTCTCAGTGTATGGGCATGCGTTACCTTCCCCCCGGAATACTGTTTATTCTGAATTCTGAGAATTTTCTAACTGGGGCTAGGTGACACTCTTAGTGCCACTAAAAGCAGTTCTCCAGAATTTGCCAAGCTTTGCCCTGTGCAACCATAAAGGGATGTGTGGCAGTGACACCGTTCTTCTGCCTTTCCCTAAAATCTAATCTGTCAAGTAGAAAATCCCTGCCCTTTTCAAAGGCTTCCTCAGGTCAGTGGGTACTCCCCACAGGTCAGGAATGAGGCTTCACTGGTATTTCCTGCACTAACAGTGCTTGTTCGCCTGAGAGGCAGACTTTCAGCACTGGATGCTCAGGTTTGAACAGCTTGGTTCACTTGGATATTTATTGATGAGGATTTATTGATTGATATTTATTTATTGATTGATGAACTCCTTCTGGGTAAAGTGCTAGAAACATATCTAGAATGAAATCTCTGGCACACATGGGGAAAATATTTTTCTTACAAACCAGATGTGCCCAGAAGCTGAGTCATTGGCGGTTGTCTCTCAAATACAAAAGTTAAAAGAGAAATTCCATTAATTTTTGCGTTACCAAACCTATGGGCAGCAGCTGCAGTGGCTGTGTTTCTCGTCCTTTGCCTCCTTCTTGTCATTTGATTTGAATTTCATGTCTCAAAGGTAAAAGGTGTGTTTTGATTCAGAAATCCTTCTTTAAGACACCAGCTAACTGTCCACCCCTCATTCACCGACTGCCAATACTTGACTACAAATCCACTTCGTAGCTCAGGAAAATGTGTGCGGTTCTAAGCGCTCCGACTATTTGTGAGCGACTTTATTTTCACTATTAGCATCATTAAATCATTACAAAGATAATGGTGGATTTTGCTAGATAACTATTTGAAAATAGGGACTTCATTCTGAAGGTAAATAAACTCCTAAATCTTATCCAATAGCCGATTAAAGCTGTTTTGGGGGTAACAACTGGAGCTCCCATTAAATGTTGAGGCATGCTCAGCAGTGGAGAGGAATTGTGGGATTGGACACCTATAACCCCTGTCCTCAAGGGCCCATGTCCAGCAAAAAGTGCCAGAAGCTGTCTTACATACTATGTTGGGAAGCAAGCCTGTACTCTGGGTGTTCAGCTTGATGGTGGCTGAAGATGGCTTTCTGAGTTGTGTTCTCTTTCAGGCAGATTTTGAGCAGGAATCACCCTAAAGAGCTCAGTGGAAATCAATTTCCAGATATGGCCAGCAGCTCCCACACTGGGAATGGGGACTGCCCCATGGGCTCTGTCTCTGAAAACTCTAAAGCTGTAGTCATGATTTGTTTGGGTGTGAAGAGACATTTGCAAGGGCATGACTGGTCGTACTCTACCATCCCCAAGGGCGGTGGTTCTCACATAGCAGATAATCCTGCACATCAGATATTTGCATTACAATTCATAACGGTAGCAGAATTTACAGTTCTGAAGTAGCAATGCAAATAATTTTATGGTTAGGAAGATCACCACAACATGAGGAACTCTATTCAAGGGTTGCAGCATCAGGAAGGTTGAGAGCTGCTGCCCAAGGGAATGCAGTCCTGTTCTGCCTGGTCAGCATGTAAAGAGCCTGGCGTTTGTGCTGCAAACAAGAAGAGCTTCAAAGGGCTTTCCCGGAGTCCAGCGACAGTGGTCAGAGATATTCTTGAGAATAAACTTGGAGCAGACCTGTGGAGGAAATCTTGAATAGAGGCTAGTTAGGCCATGGCACTGGAAGTCTAGAGCATAGAATAGTCCAGGAAACAGATGCCACAAGAGAAGTGATGGCAGTTGATGGTCACCAAGGACATGGTCAGGTCAGTGGATTATGACCCTGCTTTGGTCACTGAGACAGAGACCTGGCACAGACAGTTTAAAAGAGGAAGAATTTAATTGGGCTCACGGTTTCAGAGGTCTAGCTGGTCCTTTGCTCCATTAGTTCTAGACCATCGTGGCGATAGAAAAATATGGCAGAGGCTATTCTTCATGGCAGACAGGAGGAGAGTGACAGAATGTGTAGGCTGATGGGCCTTCTCAGTTCCCTTTTAATCCATCCTAGCACCCAGCTTGCAGGAATAGAGCTGCCCACATTCAGGCAGCTCCTTCCACAACCGCCTTGGTTAATCTTCTCTGGAAAAGCCCTCACAGACACACCCAGTGGTTGGCTTCACTGATCTCAATTCAGGCAAATCATCCATCCGGGTTAATCCTCAGGCTGCTGACTGGAGTGTCCGGTTACATGGGGCACTCCTTGGCATGGGTGACCACCTGCTCAGGAATCTAAGGGGACCCCCGTGCAGGTGTCAGGGCTGGAGTCTGGCATTCAGTCTGGTCATAAGATTTGGAAGTCCTCATGTGTTGGGAGTGGTTGGTTTGATCTCCTGTTTTGATGACAAACATCCAGCCACCACAGATACGACCCAAGCTGCTATACAAAGACACGGTTCTATCCAGCTGCATCCAGCTGTAACCCACTGTATTTTGTGACCTATATTTGATTGGGTTTGATTTTCTATCATCTCAGTAGCAGCTTTTACTTTCCACAGTCTGTGCTTTTTAAAAATTAGACAGCCTAAAGTACCACCTGAGTCCGTCAGTGTTTCCTGAAGCAATTGAGCTTTTCACTCATCTACTTTTTCTACCCAACCAAAAGACATAAATAAGCATTGTAAAGGGGTAGCTTAGGATTTTGATGTTTATTTTGTGCTTTCATGAAGTTAATAATGTCAGGGTTTAAACATTTAGCTGAGGTGCTTGTTAAAGTTGAGTCCGCGAGTTACCATCAGCTCACCGGCAGGCTAAGAATGAACAGGGTGGGTTTTCAGGGAGAAATAATCCCCCCTTTCTTTCTTTTCACCTTAGAGGTACTGAACCCCAACCTGCCCTCTCCATACCATCTGAATCCCCCAGCCCTCCACGTGGTGCCATGTACACGCAGGCCTCTCTGACGCCTTTTAATCGTGCACAGGCGAAAGCACCCCCAACCCAGGCCGTGGCTCTACACCATCACCTGGGCCACCGAGTGATAGGGCAGCTGCTGAGAAGCAGTGTTGTTCACACCACTCTCTGCTGAGCGAGGTTGCAAGGAAACCCTTTCTCTGGAATCCTGTCAGCTGTGTCTAGTTCTTTTCCTTTTTTCTTGGTGACCGCCTCTGCTGCCTCGGTTGTACGTGCCTATAAGAGGTGCATGGAGTGGATTATTCATTTGTTCAATATAGAATCCTCACTTGAAAGCCGTTTTGCAACATCATAAGCAGATTTTAAGAAGTATTTGAAATGAGAACAAAAAAAAAAAAACAACCATGTGTATGCGTGTTAACTTCCTAGGGAGCTAAAACTTCTTAGGCCTTTTGGAAATCAAGATCAAGTTATAAATCCTTGCGAGTAAAGGGGTTTATAATCGCAGATTTACCAGACTGCCTGCTAGAAACTGCAAGGAAGTGGTTTTAATTTTGTTGCGCATTTTTAATTTCTTTTAACTAATCATATATATGTTTGCCATGGACAGCAGAGTTACCTTCTAACCCCCAATACTAAATGCTCCCAGGGGTCAAGCAAAAGGGGCTGGATGGACTTTGCAGAAGGAAATCCTTTCTTAAACATCCTGTCTACAAAATGAATTGGAACTAATGCATTCATGGTTTTAATGTTTTCAGACAGCAAAATCACTCAGTGGGAAGATCCGAGACTACAGAACCCAGCCATCACGGGTCCGGTCAGTATTCTCCTGTTCCTCCCCTTCACAGGAGCTGTGGCTGCTTCTAACACACCCTTCTTGTTTATTCCTTATTACTGTGATGTCTAGAGACTGCTGAGAATAAGTAGATTAAGATTCGACCCAGCTCTTCAGTGAGTTTTCCAAATGGGGTACAGCTGCCTGGGCCTTTGCTTCAGACCGGAATTACAAAGGAAGAGAAAATGGTGTTATAATAGCGGATTGAAACGTTTTCTTCCTGGTCCCCTCTAAAAGGATGGTTTAAATGTGTAACAGGATTTTTCTCCTTTTTTTTTTTTTTAACAGTAAAGCAGAGTTTGGTTGAAGATATTTTAATATAGGCTTAAGCATGAGAATTAAGAGAAAGAGAGGCACTCGGAAAAAAGGAGAGAGGTACTTTTACCTAAGTGTGGATACAGGCTCCTTAAGAGAGAGGCATTCAAGCTGGGCGGTGGTGGCGCACGCCTTTAATCCCAGCACTCGGGAGGCAGAGACAGGCGGATCTCTGTGAGTTCGAGGCCAGCCTGGTCTACAAGAGCCAGTTTCAGGACAGGAACCAAAAGCTATGGAGAAACCCTGTCTCGAAAAATCAAAAAAAAAAAAAGAGAGAGAGAGAGAGAGAGAGAGAGAGAGAGAGAGAGAGGCATTCAGTCATGCAGTGGTGGGGCTCGCCTTTAATCACAGTACTCAGGGGGCAGAGTTAGGCAGGTCTCTGAGTCCAAGGCCAGACTGGTCTGCTGGGTGAGTTCCTGGACAGCCAGGGCTACCCAGAGAATGCCTGTCTGTCGAGGGGCAGAGACAGAGACAGAGAGAGAGATGGGGGGGGGGGCACCAGTATTCATCTTTATAGGCTGCGAAACCAAGCATTTATAGGATGCTGTCATTTGTTTTAGGCCAAGGATAATAAGTGCGTGCCAATCAACTGGAGTCTGTTCCTCTTTTAAAAGCCCATCGAGAGGAGGTAGCAAAGATGTGGGTCACGCATCTTCCATTCTGCTGACTCCCCGGCTTTGTCCTAGTGCTGCTCATACATGCTGGCTAGAAAATACCCCTCCAGCTTAGGGGTATGATCCCCTGAGATTTCGCAGCACACTGTATTCATAGGCAGAGGGAAAGTCCTAAATCCTTGTGTGCTAGGGACAAACTCCTCAGCAGGGAGTACATGGAGATAAGTTGGGGCGATAGAGACAGGAAATTGACTGGGACCAACAGGAGATTGCAAATTTGGGTCCTTTTGAAATAATTCAAGAGCACTCCAGCACAAGTTTTGGCCCTTCAGTGTTTTTTTCATTGACAGGGGGAGGTACTCGCAAGGCTCCTCCTCCCTCCCCCCACCCCCGCCCCGAAACTGTTGGCACTTAATGGTTGCTGGAGGTAGGAGGCAGGACCATTTCTTCAATGGTCTAGCCACAGATAAACTGTTCCCATTCTAGGAAACCCTTTTGTCCCAGTTAAACTCAGTGGGTCACAAACAAGGAAACCCACCAAAGTAGGAAAGAGGTGTGTTAGAAAGACGTGTTTTATCAGGAATAAGCATGGGTTGGGGAGGGGAGCGTGAAAATGACTTACGTTCGCATTATGCACAATTGGGAAGCTGTCAAAGAATTTCAGGAGAATTCTCGAGCAAATGAAACCAGTGTGCTGAGCAAGAGTCTTAAGAGCTGGAGAGAAAACACTTAATTTCATGGCATCGATGTGATCTGTTTGAAATTATTCTTAAATTGCAAGCTTAAGTCTGACCATACACATGTGGATCAGTAACTTCCCTTCAGCCGTCCGTTTGTTGAACTAAGTGGATTTGTTCAGCTACTCGGCAGTTTTCTATGGAAAGCCCTGTTAGAAGAAAGCTCATAACCTTTCCTCCACCGAGCTTTCGGAGCACTCCCTCACTTACTGGTGGCTTCTTTGTGACAAAGTTGTAGCCACAGTTGGCCGTTCAGTGTATGTCCCCACGGTTTTTGAAAACAAGAGGAACTACAGACATTACTTTCTCTAGAGACAGACTTGCCAAGCTCGGCTCTTTCCAAAGATTTCCACCGTTTGTCCGTCACCCACCTCTGCTCAAATAGTACTTACTAGTTGTTGAAAGTTATTTAGCCAGATGTGGTGTCGCACATCTGTAATTCTACTCTTGGGAGGATAAGAGTTCAAGGCCAGGGTGAGCCATTTAGCAATATTCTTTCTGTCTTTTAAAAAGGAAGAAGAAAATTACTTGACATCCTAAGCTCGAGCAAATTAGTCCCAAGAAATCTCTTTTAACAGGAGCCTTGTTTATTCCCCTTATTAGAAACAGTGCTTCTTTCTGTAGGAATATGGGTAATTACAATTTAGGAAAGACATTTGGCTCTCGTAACACTCATTTCTAAATAATTGGGAATTTCCATATAATTTTTCTTCTTATAGATTAAATAGGAATCTTCCTTTTATCTGTGAACATATAAGAAAGGTCTCTTACTTTATTACATAGTAACTAGAGAACATTGCCTGGAATGTTCATGGACAGAGAATTGAGTTGGATTTTTTATTTGGGTTTTGGTTTCCTGAGCTAGGGTTTCCTTATGTGACCTTGACTGGCCTGGAACTCACACGGGCCACTGTGCCTAGAAGCTATAGAATTTTTATGATACTTCTGACTTCCTTGAAGGCATGGTCATTATTAGAGAATGATCTGTTTGCGTTTTTAAAAATATACTTATTGTGTTGGGTTTGGTAGTACATACCTCTAATCCTAACACTTGGGAGGTAGAGGCAGGTGAATTTCTGTGAGTTCAAGACAGACCTGGTCTGCATATTGTGTTCCAGGCCCATCAGAGCTATCTGTTAAGACCCTGTTTGTAAAAAAGAAAAAGAAGTGTGTGTGTGTGTGTGTGTGTGTGTGTGTGTGTGTGTGTGTAGTTGGAAAAGCCTTTATAGGTCAGTCAGGAAAAGCCTGAGTGTTAAGTGATCACACATGCTTGCAATGTGGTTTTCCTGGCAGTAGAATCCTATCATGATAGCATCAAAATCTATATATCAGTTTTGTCTGAAATTCATCTAAATTATATTCACGTTCTCTCTTCATTAATATGTGCCTGGTGTTTTGTCCCTTAATTTGCAGGGCTTTTTCTTCTTTTCTTACCTTCTATACAAGTGTCTTAACTTCCCCTTTTTGTTTTGATAGTATGCTTTGTTTTTGTGTTCACATTAAGGTAGTGTGTGTTAGTGTTCCGTGTGTGTGTACATTTGTGTGTACGCACGTGTGTGAGATCAGAGGTCAGCATCCAGTGTCGTTCTCTGTCACTCTCCAACTTAGTCTTTGAAGCAGGGTCTCCAGCTGAGCATAGAGCTCACTGATTTGGCAATACCAGGTAGCCAGTGAGCTTCAGGGGTCCTCCTGTCCTGCTCCCCTGCTGCTCCCCAGCGCTGGAATTCTAGGCACACACCATCACCTGGCCTTGGTGTGGGCCCTGGAGATCTGCAGTCGGGCCCTCAGACTTGCAGTGCAAGCTTTACTGACAAAACTCTCTTCCTACCCCCACTTAAAAGCTTTAAATAACCTTTGACATAAAAATAGAATTAATCATTCTCTTCCCTCCTGATTTTTCCTAGGTAGAATTTTAAACCCACCTTGTCTTTATAGTTCCTAAATACTTTAATTCCCCACCCCACCCCCCTGCAATAGTCAGTAATTACATAATTTTACCTTTAGGGAATAACCTTTCTCCCCATCTTGGTTTTGCACGCACCCCCACCCCAGATTTTCTTCCGATACAGTACCTCATGGTTTACTGGCTTAACAAACCGGGCAGGGCTAACAGTCTGTTAACCCAGAACTGCTGCCCTGCCACAGTACAGAGGCGCTGAGAGTGGAAGCATCCTTAGTCCGGTTGGCCCTTTCCCTCAAATACTCAGTTCTGCTGATTGCATAATTCTGGGTTTTTTCTTCTGTTTTTTTTTTTTTGTTTGTTTGTTTTTGTTTTATATTCTCCCATATCCTCTGACCTTCAAACTGGTGATAAAAAAAAAAAATTGTTGTCAATCTGATTGCCATGTCTTTGAAGGCAATTTTTTTTTCCTGTAGTGATTTTTTTTAATTTGCTCATTATCTTTGATGTTCTGCAAGCCCACAGTCGCATGCCAATTTGTGGATTTCCCTTTGTGGGTCTTACCTGGCATTCGGGATCACCCGTGGGTTGGGGTGGGGGTGGCTATATCCTTCCTCTGGTCTGGCAAACCCTCAGCCATTCTTGATTCACACACTGCTTTCCCCATCCTTCCCCATCCTCAATCCAGCCAAGCGTCTGCATTGCCTTCCGTCTTTGTTCTTGTCCCTTCGGAGTCAGTCTCCTGCCTCCTTTCCTGGCTGCATTTTGATTTGTTACTTTATTCTTCTAGTTAATCCTTTCTTAAGGTTTTTACAATTTTTTTTATGTGTTCATTGTGCCTATTAAGTGAGCGTGTTCAATTGTTCAAAGTTCTTTGGGGTCTCATAAGTTTTCTTTGTCTTTTCATTTCTGTATTGCCTTTTAAATTATCCTTTTATATTCTGTCATAAAGATACTGCAGAACATCCTCTCTCTGATACTCTGTTCTCTCTGGTCCTAGGAGCATTCAGTCTCCTACTTGTTATGTCTAGATGTTCAACACACTTGTGTATTGTCTGGGTGACGGTCGTGCATGCATGTGTGTGTATGTGTGAGTGTGCATGTGTGTGCTCGCGTACAGGCACACAGCCACAGGCACCACTTTTTCCCCCTTGGGAGGCTTTTAAATTCCTGGCCAGCATTTGCAGTCACTTTCTTGGCCTGGGTTTATGCTACCTGATTAGAATAATTGTGGCCCTCACACACAATTGGATACAAGCATGAGGTGTGAATTTATTCTAGTCTATTTCCTTTAGAATGTCTACATTTACATCCCTAGATAGAGATACAGTTCCTTCTAGGTTCCCTGGGCCTGAGGTTAGCTTCCCCATAGCCTTTTTAGTTCTAAGCCTAGGCCTGTCTCAAATTCATGGTCATTTGCCTCAACCTCTCAGGTGACACCTAGCTAGGATATTGAAACTTTTGCATAGTTGTATCTGACTGAGACTTCGAGCCCACCCCACCCCACCCCACCCCCAATGGAGTCACCTTCGCTCCACAGAGAAGGCATTCCAGTTTAGAGGAATTCTTGCCCAAGTGTCCTAGTTTCATTTCTGCTACTGTGATAAATAGCTTGACCCAAAGTCACCTAGGGAAGCTTACAATTCAGGTTATAGTCTGTAGCATGATTAATAAAAACCCAGAGACACATATTGAGGTTAAACCTGAAGGGCAGAAAAGCAAAACAGCCAGCTGCTGGTTCTTACCTCTACCTCAGTCTGAAATAGCTATCCTGCCTCCAGGAATCTCAGAATGAGAGTGTGTGTGAGAGCTGTCTCCTCCCGTCTTATATTCCTCTCTAGTGCTGGAATTAAAAGCATGTACCACTACTGCCCGGTTTCTATGGCAACCTAGTGTGGCTACTGGGATTACAGGTGTGTGTCACCACTGTCTAGTGTATAAGGCTGACCAACGGGGCTGTTTTACTCTCTGATCTTCAGGCAAGCTTTATTTATTAAAATACAAATGAGATATCACTACAACAGTCTACCAAGTGAGAACTCGAAGGCAGGCCTGCTTGCTGTTCCGTACAGCATTGCTTCCAACCACAAGAGATGCTGCATGCTGACTCACACGGGCTCATCCTTAGCTAGCTTCCCTATACAATCCAGAATCATCCTCCCTGGGAATGGTGTTGCCTGCAGTGGGCTAGGCCCTCTTCTAAAAACTGACAATCAAGACGATCCCTAGGCAAACATAGGCCAAATCTGATTTAGGCAATTGCTCAAGTAAGAGCCAGCCAGGACACCAAGTAAAAGACAAACCTTGTGCGTCCTCAGTCTGAATCCTTTCTGAAATGCCATTTACTCAGAATTCCCACTCCTTGACACAGCTATCAGCCTGCTGCCCTTTCTGCCTCTGGTGTTTCTCTCTACAAGTTGTTATGTTGATTTTGTAGTACTGGGGGTGAAGCCTAGAGCCTTGCACTTCCTAAGCACACTCTTTGGCGCTGAGTTGTGCCCCCATCGCTTGGTGTTTTGAGACATCATCTTAATGTATAGTCCAGAATGGTCTTGAACTCACCATCATCCTGCCACTGCCCCCGAGTAATGCATTACTAACATGAGTACCATGCATGGCTTCCCACAAAGACTTTTCAAGTATCACTTGGAGTTGTGGGTTAAAGTACCATAGCCTATAACACTTTGGCTCCAGGAAAGGCAGATGATACGATGATGAAAGATGCTCGTATCTTTGTATCTCTGTGTGTTGCCCTGACTCATACTCTGGCAGAATCACGCAAAACACGTACTGGTTTGTGCAGCGCGATCCCGAGATTCCTTGGCTGTCACTCTAGGTGTACTGTTATCCCTCATCATTTCGAGGACTTTTCCCTTTCCCTGTGGAGACATTATTACGCAGGTTTTCTGTAGAAAATACAGAAAATGAGTATGTAAGGTTTGCAGTTCATGAAAGTCTGCCAGCATTGGCTCTCTGTACGTACAATTTCAGACATATGTTTACGTTATCTGTGCGTTTGAATCTCTCTTGCAGGCTGTTCCTTACTCCAGAGAATTTAAGCAGAAGTATGACTACTTTAGGAAGAAATTAAAGAAACCTGTGAGTAATCAGCCCTTGGATCAGCTCTGTGTCTTATTCTGTTCCCCTCACCAATGTTACCTCATTGAAATAGCCTGTTTGTGATTTGTCTGTGGACACTTCCCTCTCTTCCCTGCCCTTTGGTCCACCAAGAGCTTCAGTCTGAATTTGCTCAGCGGTGGTTAAGTGAGATTAACTCAGTATCATCACCTGAAGGGCAGTTGCTTATGTGAGACATAAGAAGGCATGGGATTCTTATGGAATAGAAAATAAGACCAGAAACAAGAAATCTGGAGAAACCGCATTGAGGGCATCTCTTTCTAGTCAGAGGTGCAATTTTAACTCTGCAACATGAATGTTTAACCAGAAGTTTACAGCATGTAATAATACTCGGTAGTGATGAGCCCGAGGATATTTATAATTCTCACTACCAGTGTACAACCATGAGACCCGGAAGGCTTTTCCGTTTTACAGTCAGCATTGAGTTGGCGCTGTGTTTGCTGTTGGCATGTCTTCTCACGGTCCCCTGTACCCGTTACCTCTCTGGTGAGGGCCTTAGTTGTGCCCTCAGTTTGCTCAGAAACTTGGTGCCTCTGGACAAGGAGAATGTGAGCCCCACCATAACTCCTCCTTTGTCTGCTCCCTCCAGTTGATGTCTAGTTCTGAGCTCTCTCCTGTGGTAGAGGGATGCTGGCAGCCTCTGAGAGCAGAGAATCCACTCTCTGTTCCACAGTTGGAGCCTCTTTGCCCCTGAAGCTCACAGTGGGGCATACAGTCCTCTTACCTTGTGAGCCATCTGTGTGTCCTCCAGTGACAAGGAGCTCCAGGGCCGTTGCCTATCTAGGGCAAGACTGGCCTGGGTTTCATCCTTCCAGAACGCTGTTGGCATACCTCACTTAAGTGCTGGGTATCATTCAGTCAACTTTGGATTTGGAGATGCTTCTCCCAGACTTAGTAGGATAAAGGTCCCACTCCCCTATGATACACAATAAACTTGCAGGCATCATGGCTTGCATTTCCCAGCTGCAGTCCCTACCACAGATAAGGCTAGTTCCAGCTTGCCTGGGGGTTGTTGCTTAACGGTTTAATTACCTGGGATTAAGTCTCTCTTTTGACGGAACCAATATCCGGAGATGCCTGTCAGCAAAGTGCCCGTGTCCACAAAGAGATAAGGATGGGTTTCAGGGCTCAGCAGATGTTCTCCCAAAGACATGTTGCTGGCTTGGCCTGAGCAGAAGTGAATGGATGCTTCTGTGTGTCCCATCTTAACACAGTGGGGTTCCCATCTGTGTGAGGACAAATCCATAAAGGAGAGACTCCCTGCTGGTCCAGTCTGCACCACGCATTTATCTAAAAGCTGTCATCGTTTCTACCCTTGTGTTATCTTCCAGTATGGTAGGGTGTGTGTGTGTGTGTGTGTGTGTGTGTGTGTGTGTGTGTGCGTGCTCGCGCGCGCGCGCGCGTTCATACCGTATGCTCACTAGCTTCTCTTTTCCATTTAGGCTGATATTCCAAACAGGTTTGAAATGAAGCTCCACAGAAACAACATATTTGAAGAGTCCTATCGGAGGATCATGTCTGTGAAAAGGCCCGATGTCCTAAAGGCTAGACTGTGGATTGAATTCGAATCAGAGAAAGGACTGGACTATGGGGGTGTCGCCAGGGAATGGTTCTTCTTGCTGTCCAAAGAGATGTTCAACCCCTACTATGGCCTCTTTGAGTACTCTGCCACGTAAGTACAGGGAAGCCATTGGCAATGTATTCCCCTCCCCTGCCGCTGATACAGCTTATTGAACTTAAAGTACAATTAAAAGACGACCCCCCCCCCCACGTGAGATTTCAGTCTCTCCCCACCCTAGCACCCTCACAAGTCTAAAAACAAATTCCGAGCCAATGTGGTGAGGCGCTGTACACCATGAACACCTGAAAGGGATTCTTCTCCTGTTTGGCTCACAGAATTGAAACTGAAAATGTGTTAGGTTGTTACCAAGGGAGCAGGGCGTTTTTTATTTGTAATGCCATTCTAATATAAGGAAGGATTTATTAGTATCAGGCTTCAGAGAGTCGCATGAACAAGGACTGTTTCTGAAGCCATACTACTTAAAAGGCAAATTATGAGGATTTTGAAGACCCATGCCTGGGATATAAAAGATATTACCCTCGTTCCATAACAGAAGAACCAGGCTATGCCTTGCATTAGGGTTTCATCATTGCCTGGCAAGGGAACTGGGGCAGGACTGGGTTGTTTCCTCAGCAAACATTTGGCTCCTGTTTTCTCTGGGCTGAGAATGTTCAGGAACTTGAGGCTGATCCTAAACTCCCAGTGGAATAATTGATCTTGGCAAAGAGATGTTTATTTAGCTTTGTTCCAGTGTAGACTACAACTGATGTGGTTTCTCCTACATCTTCCTCCTCATACCTATATTATAGGGCTTATTGGAAAGGCTATCTCAGGACAATCTTCAGTTGATCTAGCCAGAAATTGCCTTGGTTGGTAGTGGTTGGTAGTGAGGCTCATGAGAGAATCCGCTGTAGAAAACGTTAACACCACTGAAGTAGAAAACAAGGTAGGAAAGAAAGAAAGAAAGAAAGAAAGAAAGCAAGCAAGCAGGTTGGCGCCAAGGTCCTTACCTTTCCCTACGTCTCCAAGTAACTCCTAGAAAAATCAGTCTGCACTGCCTTCCTGAAAGCTCCTTGTTCTCATGATTGTGAGTCCAAAGGGGAACATGTGTCCTGGGGTTTGCATTATTAAGACTACCATGTTCTTCTCCCAGTGATCCTTAGATCACTTACCCAAGAGTCTGTCCTGTAGGGAATATCCCCAAATCAAAAAGCCTCTCAGAGGAATTAGCCTTCTTTGATCACAGAAACCATCTACAGAACTTGTGTCCCTGAGGATCTCTGCACATCCTTTTACACTGTGAGCGTTCTCATCTTCTCAGGATGTCTGGTTGACCCATTTGAAACTGACGTGTGTGTGTGTGTGTGTGTGTGTGTGTGTGTGTGTGTTCGTATGTATTATTGCACATGTATGCGTGTGTATATGTGTGTATGACGGCTAAAGGGCAGCCTCAGGTATCCTCACCTTGTTTTTTAAGACAGACTCTCACTGGCCTAGAACTTGCCAATCTGCTAGGCAGCCAGAAAGCCCCCAGGGATCCATCTGTTTCAGCCTCCTAAACCCTGGGATTATAAGCATGAGTCACCACACACAGCTTTTTTAAATGTGTGTTTTGGGGATCAAACTGAAGCCTGCATATTTGCAAGGCAACTACTTTATGACTGGGCTGTCGCCCTGGGCCCCTGAAGTTGGCATCTCCATAGATAAAAATTAGGCAACTGTCCACAGTTTCTGCACTTTATTAACCCAGAACTGTCACTACAGAAAGGGGTGTGTGACTGGTGGGTTGTATCTCCCAGCTCATACCAGTTGCCACCAAGTCCTAAAGGTTTGCAATTGCACTGTAAAATGGAGCAACAGGTGACAAAGGCAAGATCAGCTTCTTGGATTTCTTTTCTTTTCTTTCTTTCTTTTTTTTTTCTTTAAGTGTGATTTGACTTTTCTCTTTTCCTCCCCAAAGGGACAACTACACACTTCAGATCAATCCCAACTCAGGCCTCTGTAATGAAGATCATCTGTCCTATTTCACTTTCATTGGAAGAGTTGCTGGCTTGGCAGTGTTTCATGGAAAACTCTTAGACGGTGAGTACTCCAAAGGCTTGTAGGAATAAAAGTAAGGCAATGCCGCTTATGCTTCTGCAATCCCATGTCTTAGCCTACATGTAGATGGTCAGTAAGAGCTTCTCTGGCCCTCTGTAGCTGATTCTTTTCTTACTGGAGACTGAGCCCAGGATCTTGCAGATCCCTCAGAGCCCTAACCTACAGTGTGTGGGCTTTCCAGCTTTCCCCTAACCATGGTCTTTTGGTACAGTTTCGTGCACTGAAGACAGGGCTCTGTATATACTTACTCTCCGTAAACTGAAGCACAGATCAGTCATCCCATGTGTTTTTCAGGACACCTTTCATCTAGTGAGAGCTAGATTCACTGACAGATGGAAAATTTAATTGAAATGTTAAATAGATGATCTAATCCATCAGTAGCCTGCCCTTGCTCCATTTGTCCCCAAATTGGTTTTTAATGATTTCAAAGTGATGTTATCACTCGACTAAGGCCTTAACCCTGGAATGTCCTCTGAAGTAGACGGAGCAAATTAACTGTGTCCTTCTGGAGAGGAAATATACAGGAACTCCAGGGTATGAGAAGTTAGGGCTCAAAGCCCCTCCCACCTGGATATACCAAAGTCTGTCGTACAGGTCTCGTATGGACTTAGTGGTCTCAAAATATTACCTTACATGAGGGAGCACTACAGAAATCATCAGTGAGCAAAAAATCATGAGAAATTTGAGACGTGAGGTAGAGTAGTTGAAGACAACATTCCCGTGACGGTAGAGAGGGCCATTTGCAAGGGAATTTGGCTAGATGCCTTTTTGAAGCTTGAGCTACTCCAGTAAATAATTGATGGATCCTCCAAACTTCTCTTTTAATATATTTGTACTACTAATGGCTAGCTAATTATCAGTATTTTATTTTGCAAGGGGGAAGGGACACTGTATGCATAAGGTACATACAACTGTTTGACTCACTGCTCAAGAGTGTACAGCTGATACTTGTTTGTGTGTATACAGTAAGCTCTTCTTTCTGGTTCTGTCCATGCATGTGTATGTATACAGTAAGCACTTCTTTCTGACTCTGTCCATGCATGTGTATACAGTAAGCTCTTCTTTCTGACTCTGTCCATGCATGTGTATACAGTAAGCTCTTCTTTCTGACTCTGTCCATGCATGTATGTATATAGTAAGCTCTTCTTTCTGGTTCTGTCCATGCATGTATGTATACAGTAAGCACTTCTTTCTGGTTCTGTCCATGTGTGTATGTATACAGTAAGCACTTCCTTATGACTCTTCCCGTGTGGGTATGCAGCTTATTTTTTACTCCAGGTCCCTCCTTTGCTTCTGTCAGTCCGTTCATCCTCTCTACCTTCTGAGAACGTCTGCTCATTCATCTTCCACCAAGCAAGAAGACAATTGTTAATTAGTGTGGGGGAATAGAGATAAGTGTAAAACACGGCCCTGACTCCAGTGACCTCATAGGTTAAGGGAGAAACAGACGATAAAGAAAGATGATTAGCAGAGGTGGCTTCCCTGCTGCAGACTGACAGGAAGCCGCAGAGAAGCCCTCTGCCTTGTTGCTGAGTGTCCTGAAAGCATTAGAAGTCACATTCGTTTCAGAGGAACCTGGGCTGGCCAGCACTCAGCCCTGAAGAAGGAAAAATGCAGAGAGCTAAGGGTGGATGGGGACCTGAGGTGACTGAGCTGGTTCCCACAGAGGGGTCACGCGTATGTCAGGAATCCACGGGTCTTCAGTCCCTCAGCACACGAATGCCTGTTGGCACAGCACACTCAGCGCATCCACCTCTGTGCTCAGCGTCATGCTTTTGCCTCACTAGACATTAAAGTGTGCCTCTGTGGCCCAGGGACTACACTAAGCCAAAACGAAGCTGCCTATGCTGCAGGGCCCTGCAACCCCATATCTGGAGGCAAAGGTGCAGCCTTCCTGTGGATGGGTTAGGAAGACAGCTACCTGATCGGGGAGTCTTCTCTGTCATGGCCCTCCTGTGGCCTTGGCAGCCCTCACAGACTGTTGCTCAACCCGCACAGGGGCATCTGTCACCCAGCAGTATCTAGGAGCTGACACTGACATGCAGGTAGAGCTTGCCTGTCCTTGTTGACTCAACACTGTCCTGGGAGAGGCCACCTTTCTGGCCCAGTCTGGGACACTGTACTCAATACTACCATAACAGCCCTCTGCTGACACCAGCCTTGGTGGCATCACACACCACCTGGAAGCCATTCTTGTCTGCTGCTAAACCACCTCCAAGTACAGATACTCCACTCCATTCCTTTCTAGGCCCTCTGTCCCAGTTCATTCCTGTTGCCATGACAACATATCCTTACGAAAATCAACATGGGGGAAGAGAAGTTCATAGTTTATAGATCCAAGTTACAGCCCATCATTTTGGAGAAGACAAGACGGGAACTCAAAGAGCTGGTCACATCACATGCACGGTTAAGAGCAAAGAGAGAATAAGAGCATCTTTCTCTTAGTGTGATCAGGACCCCTTCCTAGGAATGGCGCCTCCTGCAATGGGCTAGATCTTCCTACAACATTCAACAGTTGAGACAGTCACTTACAGATGTGCCCACAGGCTAAACTGATCTAAGTAATTCTTCACTGATACCATTTTCTTAGGTGATTCTGGATTGCCTCAGGTTAACAGTTAAAATGAACCAGTGTTCCCTCCCCACTTGCTCATGGGTTACTCTAAAAGATCCTTGATTATTCGGTCATGACGGCCGTTTATATGGAAAGCAGTGTATTCTTGATTTCCTTCGCAGCTGCGTAGGCGCATCAAGGGCTGGAAACTTAACCAACCTTTTGCCATATTTTAGGGTTCTTCATTCGACCATTCTACAAGATGATGTTGGGGAAACAGATAACTCTGAACGACATGGAGTCTGTGGTGAGTAAAGGCAGGACACGGTGTAGCCGTCATAGGCCTTGCTCGCCTTCTGGATGGGCATCAGGAACCACGTTTACAGTCACACAGTCACTCTGTGTGAACCACAGGGGGGATTGCTTGCCAAAGGTCAGTTGACCTTCCTGATTTCGATAATAAGCAACTTATGGTTGGTTTCCAAAAACCTTGGCCTATAGGTGGGTACAGCAAAGTTTCAGGTCCCGCTGCTTGACCAGCTGAGAAGAGAGGAGCACATTAAACCCAAGGGACAGCTGAAACCTTGGTCTAAATAGCCTTGTTCTCCACCTAAATGTTAGAAGATTCCACCTTCTGTTTCTGCCCTCATGAAAGTGGTGGAGGCAAAGCCAAAACAGTAGTCACCTAGATGTGGTCATCTTGACACAGAAAACTACAGAATGAGAGACTGGGGCTTGCGTAGTTAAGACAGGCCCTCCAGAGAGTGGTGTCGACATGCAGTGGTGCTGACTGCTTGCCTGGCCTGATCATGTTCGGCACTTATGCCTTACCTAGACTAACCATGTTACCTAGACTGACCGTACGTGGTGCTGCTTACCTAGACTAACAATGCTCTATGTTTATGCCTTAACTAGATTGACTGTGCTCAGTGCTTATGCCTTACCTGGACTGACCATCCTTGGTGCTTATGCCTTACCTGGACTGACCATTCTTGGTGCTTATGCCTTACCTGGACTGACCATCCTTGGATATATTTGTTTTAAACAAAACATGCCCTTCTTTTCAGAGTACACTTACATGTCTGGCTTTCTCTGTTTACTTATGCTCTACCGTGTGTGTGTGTGTGTGTGTGTGTGTGTGTGTGTGTGTGTGTCTGCCTGTGTTTACTAGGTGCATTGTTGTCCTCACGGAAGAACTACAGCTCTGTTTCTATGTGGTCACTTGAGCTAGAAAACTGTGCATCCCTCGGCCTTGTGGCACATGGACTGTGTTTTGTGCAGAGCCGAGAATGTGACTGATGCCCGTGGCACCACCTTGTGCTCATCGTCGCAGGAAAAGAGGCAACTGTTGCACTCTAGACCTGTGACATGCGCAGACTGGCTGGCACCTGTAGTCTCAGTTCAGTCTCACAGCCCCTTCCAGCTTCTGCTTCAGTCAGTTTATGCTTCTGTTGTACTAGCCTGAGGAGGCTGGGAGCACAGAAGTTGCTCCCGGCCCCTTGGGGAAGGAGATGGAGACAGAGTATCACTATGTATGTGATCTGGCTTGGCTTAGAAAACACCATCCTCCTGCCTCTACTCCAAGTTCTGGGGTTAGAGGCGTGCAATACCATCCTGTCCTACTAACAAAATCCTGCTCTTAACGCCTAAGTCTGTGGTTCCTGTTAGCCATTAGTATTTGGGGGTCTGGAGTAAATATTTTATCTTTAATTGTGCATATTGGGGGAGTCGCACATGCAGATGAATGCTGGTGCCCATAGAGGTCAGAGGCATCAGGTTTGCCTTGAGCTGGAGTTACAGGTGGTTGTGAGCTGCGCAGAGGTTAGGTGGGAACAAACTCATATCTTCCACCAGAGCAGTACGCACTCTTAACTGCTGAGCCATCCCTACAGCCCCGGCATGACTGTTTTAAATGTGGTGCACGTTATTTTTGGTCTCTTTTGAGCTTGTTAGCTCGTTCTCAGTGAGACTCTGGGCATGCGCAGAGGGGACCTGATGGTCTCACAGCTCCTATTTTCTGAAGCGCAGCCCTGATTTGGGCTTAAATTAACGATCAGAGAACACCGAGAAAACAGGAAAGCACAGAACATACCCTATGTGGTGTTTAGTTAGAGCACCATCCTGCCTGGTCTCTGATGGCCTCACTCTTAGAAGACAGATCACTGTATTCAGTTCTGTGGACCTGATCCAGGTGTGGGGTAGCCACAAATGGGCTGAGTCAGGAAGAGATGTTGGAGACCACTGTGGGGTTACCAAACATGATGGGGAAGGGGTGGCCTCTGAATGGTCTCGCTACTTACTGCCCGCCCAATCAGGTGGCCTGAGCCATAGAGAACAGGAGGAAGTCACACATACTGTCACTGTCCAGAGGTCTTGTGTTTTAAATGAGTGGGGAGATGAGGCTAGAGCAATGGCTCGGTGGTTCAGAGCATGTGCTGCTCTCGTGGAGGATGGATTTCTAGCGTGGCTCACAGCTAACTGCCTGTAACTCCAGATCCGTCCAGAGGCTCTCACGCCCTCTCCTGGCCTCCACAGGCACCTGAGCACACGAAGTAAATCGTTAAGTAAAGAAATGAGAGGTGGTTTTGGTAGAGCAGGCCCCTTGTCACTGTGGTGAATAGTGTCACCCTTGGGCCAGATGCATGGAATTACATTAGAATGGGTTGGGTTAGTCAGTAAGAGTGGGACAGGTTTGTGTTCTGAAAACATATGCTCACTTTTCCTCCCTCTGTCATTCCTATAGGACAGCGAGTATTACAACTCCCTGAAATGGATCTTAGAAAATGACCCCACGGAACTTGACCTCATGTTCTGCATAGATGAAGAGAATTTCGGACAGGTATGTGGGTCCAGCTCCCGTAGCCCTTCCACGTGCTTCTTTTGCTGTGGGCTGTAGCCCAGCATGGCTAGACCGCTAAACAGCCACACTGACTGTCACTTTATTAGCGGGAACTTGTCTGATCTGGAAGAGCCTTCATCTGCCTTCCACTCCGCTTCCTCGGTGCCCAGTTGCCTGTGCGCCTGCGCTGTTTGGGGCTGCCATACAGTGCAGTGGTGTTTGAAGGGTGGAGGGAATACAAATAGGAGAGAGGCGGAAGTATGGGGCCCTCCAGGAAATACATACACATAATACAGCTGCAGCATGCTGGGGACACTCCTTCCGCTGAGAAATTCAAAGAGTAGCAATGGCACCAACATTGTGGCTCCCACGTTGTAACGGGACCCTGGAAGTGTTTTAATCCTCGTCCTGGCAGCTAATAGCACAAGTGAAAGATGAAGTGGGGTGTCAATGCCCCCACTATCTAAGAAGCTGCCACTGGGATCTGGAGGCTGAAGGAGGGGACAATGAAATACATTTCTCTGCCACCTGACAGAGAGGACCCGGTTGGCAGAATCACCTGTGCCCCACTTTATTGTCATGGCTTCATTTTTAAACATGAATAGTCCAGTCTCTTTCTTTCAAATAATTATACCAATTTAGTTGATTCATAGTAAAAATAAAGCCAGTATATAAAATAAAACTACACAAAAATGTAAGAAGACCAGCTCAAGAAAAGTCATGATGAAATTTTTACTTATGTTTTCCTGAATTACTCTATGCAAGCACACAGATACAAGTCTGCTTGTGCTTGTTTATAGAAGCTGAATTAGATAGACTACAAATGCCTTCAAGTGTCAGTAAATAAATTATCCTATGCTGTTTTAATGACTACAATAAATACCATCTTTTAGATGTGTATTTTTGCCCTTTTTGGTAGTTGCGTAGTCTATTTTGATGTTTCCTTTATAAACTGACATTCCTGGTGTATATATGACAACCCTGGAATACTCTACATACTATACACATCATACATATAACTTCTAAGAGAGAAGCTGTTGCCAAAAGGAGAAAACAGACATAGATCCCAGAGCTTTCCTCTGCCCTCCTATAAAAAGCAATATATAAACTCTCCTGGCTTTTTAAGCAAGAGCGTGTTTTTCCTTCCTTCCTTCCTTCCTTCCTTCCTTCTTTCCTTCCTTCCTTCCTCCCTACCTACCCACCTACTTGGTTTTTGTTGGTGATGATGTTGTTTGATTAGTTGAGTTTTGTTTTGTTTTTCAAGTCCACGTGTTTTGCCTCTTGCAAGAAGTTCCATTTTGTGTTCTTTATGCAGCATGATTTCTGGTGACAGGCAGAATGCTGGAGTTCCCCTCTATGGGCTTGATGGTTGATTGGCTTTTGTGAGCCTGATGCATGTTCTCCAGCCTCTGTTTTCTTCTCCTCGAACATAGTTAATTTCTTTTTTTTCGAGACAAGGTTTCTATGTGGTTTTGGAGCCTGTCCTGGAACTAGCTCTTGTAGACCAGGCTGGTCTCGAACTCACAGAGATCCGCCTGCCTCTGCCTCCCGAGTGCTGGGATTAAAGACGTGCGCCACCACCGCCCGGCTCATAGTTAATTTCTTGATAAATGAATAGCGTGTGAAAATGTCACTCTCTGTTGTTGGTAATATATAAAGATAATTATACCCACAAGTATCCATGAACTCATTTTCCTTTAATGATAACATCTTTACATGCGTAGCGTCTTGGAACAGTTTAAAAGGTTCATTTGACACCCTCCTATACAGAGAGCCCATTGCTGGGAAATAGTTTTAAACAAACTTTGCCTCTCTTCCTTTTATGGTAAGATGTTACTCAATAATATGTTAAATAACTTAATGTCTTTGATGGTTGTTTTTTCCTTTGTAATCACAGACCTATCAAGTGGATCTGAAGCCCAATGGGTCAGAAATAATGGTGACGAATGAAAACAAAAGAGAATATATTGAGTATGTATGCACATATTTATTACATTATCTTTGTGTACGTGTGTGTGTGTGTGTGTGTGTGCGTGCGCGCGCGCACATGTGTGCATGCATGGGGTGTGAGGTCAGTGTCATATCTTCCTCAAACGGGTCAGTCAGTGAACCTGGAGCTCATTGGTTCAGCTGGGCAGCCTTGCCTCTGTGCTCCATGGGCATGCTGTCTCCACCTCCCTGCAGAAGGACACACCACTATGCCTGGCTTTGTTTGTTTGTTTTACATGGGTGCTGGGGACCAGAAGTCGGGTCCTAAAGTTTGCACAGGAAGCATTTAAACAACTGAGCCATCTTCCCAGCCCCTGTATCGTTTACTTTTAAGAAATCAAATGGTTTATTTGGTTGTTGTCCTTTCCCTGAACTGCTCATGCATACTACAAATAGGAACTTGTTGTCAGTTTTTGTTTTGTTTTTGTTTTTGAGACGGTGTCTCTCTGTTGTGATGTGTGACTATCCTGGAATTTGCTCTATTGGCAAGGCTGGCCTTGAATTCACAGAGATCCACCTGCCTCTGCCTCCCCAAGTGTTGGGATTAAAAGCGGGCACCACCATGCCTGGCTTCTCAGTTTAAATAATAGCAATTTCCTTTTTGCCTGGCCTATGAGGCAGTTGAATGCGGGAGGGATGTTTACGTTCTCTTGCAGTTTCAGTGAACTACCTATAGAGGGTTGCCGTGGAAAGAGAGGGTGCACATTAAAGTGGCAAGCACTCCTTGAAGATGGATAGCTCATCGGAAATTCAGATTCGCAGCCATGGGGATGTTAGACCCTGATGGGGAAGAATTGGGGATTGCCAAAAAAAAAAAAAAATAATAATAATAATAATAATAATAATAACAAACAAAAAAAAAACTTTCTCCTGACTTGTCCATACTGGAAGTTGAGGGAAATATTGCAAACATGGTGCATTGTTCTGATAGTTGCTATCTGACAACCCAATCTCAGCCTCATTTTGTGGAACAGATCATTGAGTCCTTCGGAAGTTTAGCCTCTGGGTAGCACTAGACATCCCTAGCAGACAGGAGGAACTCTCAGGAGAGCGCACTACATCTTCCTCTTCAGTGTAGCAACATGAATCACACACGATTCTGGGCTCTTGCAAGATGAGCTCTAGCCCAAGTGAGGGAAATGCAGGTGTTTGGTTCACAGGTCCTGGTTTCTATATGTCCATGAGTCTGGCCCACGCTGAGCTCATTGGCTGTCTGAGCTCCTTCCAACAAGCTGGACATCCTCCCCTAGCCTCATTTCAAGTAGGCCAGTGGGCTTGAATCCAGAGGACGGACTGGGGTCTTTTATTTTAGTGCAATGTAAAGAAAACCTGCTGTCTAAACAGGAGGCAAGGGAGAGCCTCGCAGGCTTTACCTGGAAGACATTGATGAAGCCTCTAGCACATGTAGGGAAGTTTTTTGTTGGTTTGGTTTGGGTTCTGTCACTTTCAAATAAAAGTGCGTGGCACTTAATAAATAAGCCAAAAGTAAGCTACTGTGGTGTGTGCCCATGAACAATAATTGGTAGGCTTGTTCTACCATGGCCAGCTTTATCAGATGCCCCCCCTCTGGGAGACCCTCTTTGTAAAGTCCTGATGTTAAGTGGTTTTTTTAAAAAAAAAAATTCTATCCCAGGTTGGCTGAGGCCTAAGGCAGTAGACATAGGTCATGTGGACCAGGGTCAGGCAGGGCCTCAGCTACAGAGGATTGAAATCTCCCGCTGCTCACTGGCCCCTGCGGTGCCCTTGGGACTGGAAGAATGATTGATGCTGGGCAGTGGGTCGCAGCCTAGCCCTATGGTACCCACAGCTGACTGCTGTGTGCACTGCAGGATGCTGCGCTCAGGCTGTTGTCATGGTGCCACCTGGAAGATGAGTTCAGAGTCCACATTGCTCACACTGAACACCATCTCAGGGACAGTTTCAGCGACTCACAGATCCAACCATGCATCTCTAAACTTAGTATTAAAAGTATTAGTGTGGGCCATATAGCACACACCTTTAATCTCAGCACTGGGGAGGCGGACCCTGTCTCAAAAAAATATTTTTAGGTATTATTGTATAATATATGGTATTATAAACTATTCTTAACACATGTTCATATTTAAGCATACGTGTGAATGGGCAGATATGTCTAATCATATCCTATGACTTTATTAGCAGATGTTTAATGTTTTAATTTATTTTTATGTGTATGAGTGTTTTGAATGTATGTCTGTGTACCATAATGTGTGGGTGGTGTCCTTGGAGAGAAGAGGAGGTTGTCAGATCCCCTGGGATTAAATTTATAGTTACCCACATGCGAACAGCCATGTGGGTGCTGGAAATCAAACCCAGGTCTCCGGAAGAGCAGCCGGTGCTCTTAAGTGCCGAGCCATCTCTCCAGCCCACCTTTTCGTCCTTCTTTGTCAAGTCACATTTGTGGAGCACTTGGATCCACCGGGGCTTGATGCAGTCTGGCAGACCAGTTATGCTCTTGACAGCCTCAGAGAGAGCCTACATTTCTCACAAATGTTCCGGTGGCTCTTAAAGGAATGCAGGGATTCTCAGCAGATGTTCCAAAGCAAGTGCCACTCCACTTTCCCCTCTATTCAGGACTCTCTGTTTACCCCACCTAAGGAGCAGCAGGCCCAAGTATAAAGAAAGCAGTGACTGTAGGGTGGCAGAGGTGTTGGAGGAGGCTGCTTGGCCCGTTAGCTCTAGCTTCTTATTTGCTAACTCTTACATCTTAATTTAACCCATCACCATTAATCTGTGCATCACCATGAGGTCATGGCCTACCAGCAAAGTTTCAGCATGTCTGTCTCCGGCAACAGCTCCGTGGCTTCTCCCTGACTCTGCCTCCTTTCAGTGCCTATGCTTGGTCTCCTGAAAGAGCCAAAGGTCACACTGGCAGCATGACCCAGAAATCTGGCATTTTAAAATGACTGTGGCTTTCTTCCTGCTACTGCTGAGTCAGGAAAACCTCTCTTAAAGGAGCTGCGGCATGCCACCTGCAAGCAAAGCCCATTTGGGAAAAAAAAATGTGGCTAAACTTTGTTTTTTAGTGTCTAGAATTCCTCTGCAAGCCCTCTCAGGTTTTAAGTGGATTTTAGTCAACCACGTTGGTGCCAGTTTGTTGCAGAGAGGGCTAAGTATGTTCCTCTTTTCCTTGCAGCTTAGTCATCCAGTGGAGATTCGTGAACAGGGTCCAGAAGCAAATGAATGCCTTCTTGGAGGTAAGCACGGCTACTGGGGTCAGGGTGGGGACAGAGTGCAGAAGGCCAGCGCAGGTGACTCACCCTGCTGGCCGTTCCCCAAGGTGGGAATCTTCCATGATGCTCTGCCGTCTTTTTTTTTTAAAGCGTTCTCTTGCTTTGCCTTTCTCCCTTTTTAATGTTCTGAGTGCATTGTTGCTTGCTTGTTTGAGACAATGTCTCTGTGGCACGTGCTGTCCTGGAGCTGATGGCAATCCTGCCTCAACCTCCTCGCTGCTAGGATTATACCACCTGGCTTCCACCTATACTCGTTTGTTGGTTTGGAATTTATTTATTTGTATGTGTGCACACACGTGAAGATGAGTTGGTTGTCTCTGTCTACCTTGAAGTTCTAGCAGTACTCAGAGGAGCTGCCTGCTGCAGTTCTTCTGAAAATAGTCTCCTCTCCTTCAGGCCTTTCCCAACCCAGGCACACTGACTTTCCCTGCAGAGCCCTACCCTTTGTGACACTAAACTTAGCAGATTCTCTCTGGAGTTTTTACATTGCATCCAAATACCAGCTTTGTCCCTGTGATGGAATGAAGTCACTACCTCCTCCATGAGTAGTCTACTATAGGGTACTTTCCCCAACTCCTTCAGGTAGTGGGGTTTGTTTTTATGTTTGTATTTTTGCCATAAAAAGTGGTTCGTGTTAGCAAAAGTGAAATTTCTTTTTAATAATATTAGTTATTTAAAAACAACAAGAAGGGCAAGTAGGATGACTCAGCAAGTAAAGGCATTTGTTGCCTTGAAATCTGGCCACCTAAGTTCAAACCCCCAGTGCACACATGCATGCACACACAATAGATAGATCAATTTTGAGGGGAAAAACCCAAATCCCATGGTGGTCGTTTCTAGGGCCCACTCTCATGGAGCAATCCTCTCAGTGGCCTGCACATCGTGAAGACAGTCCTCCCCTGAGCAGGAAGTGCACATGTGCCAGGGCCTGGGGGATGTAAGATACGAGGGTGAATTGGCTATGGCACTGTCTGCACTGTAAGGAAAGTCCTGGGAAACAGATTCCCAGCCCTGCCCGACATTCAGAACCCACAGCGTCTAGAATCTCTTCCTGGGTCACCCCCTAATTAATGACAGCCCAGGACAGAGTCTGGCTTGCTATTCTGTCAGTTCTCAGTGCCAGCTCATGCTGCTTGCTTCTCTCCTCCACCCATGCCTTTGGCTATTTTTAAATGTGTCTCTTACACGTTTATGGTCTATGCATTTTAGGGCACACTGACTCACAAATGTGTGTCATAACTTACTTTTGCAATCCACCTGCCTCCAGTATCGCTAGTATCACAGGGTTTCAAAAAGTGTGCAAGCACGGGAAGCCTCTAGACTGTGTATGTTTCAGACTCCTGTGCATGTGCTTTTATTGGGATTGTGGTCACCGGACAGTATCACTGCTGTGTGAGCCAGCAGTAAAGAGCGACCCTTCTCTGGCTGACCACAAGCGTATTCCACCCATGAAAATGTCCTTTTTCAGAGAGAAAAAAAAAAACTGCTTACGATGTTTTTATCTTTTCCTTTCAGGGATTTACAGAACTTCTTCCAATCGATTTGATTAAAATTTTTGATGAAAATGAGCTGGAGGTTTGTGTTATCAATATAATATTTTATATAAAGTAGATGATCTTAAGTAGCTCCTTATTTCACAAATGATGGTTTTGCATTCTCTGACACATGGCATATTGAATGCTCTGTTAGGAGGTCAGTCTTCTAATCGGGGAAGGCTAGCATTCATAGCAGCCAAATAGATTTGTTGCCTGTGCCGGGGCAGTTTCTAGTGGTGCTGGATACACAGCCCAGTGCAAAGAAGAATGTGATCTCACTGGAGGAGCCTGGCTCCCTGCAGCCCTCTAGGACAGTGATCTACTTGCATAACCAGGCCCACCCAGTTCCCTTTGTTGCCTCCCAGTCTTCACCTTGGCAGGTGGGTGAAGGACTTGGTCACACTAGAGCTGTATCTCTTCTCCAGAGTCTGTAAAGGAGACGTGACCTTGTACTTGAAGTGGCTTGTGTTTGGCCATCGGGAGGCCACCAGGTAGTGGCAGGAAGTGTCTGATTGTCCATCAGCTTCTCAGCTTTGGTGTAGATGAGGGAGAGAGCAACTTGAAAACTGAATTCACATCTCACCTTGGGTTGTGTCGAGGCCCAGAAGGACAGAGGCTGCATCTGTCCACAGCGCTTCTCTCCAAGCCCATGTCCAGCAGAGCATGTCCCAGAGAATTTAAAGCAGAAGTCTCCAGACGGGTGTCATAGAAATTCTGTATCTCAGGCGCTACAGGTCTGTAGAGGCTGTGAGACGTGAACAGCATCCAAGATGACTCAGCCAGGCTGGTCCCAGGGAGGCCTAGGAATCAGTTTTCAGGCTTTAGAAATGATTTTTCTTCCTGTTGTATTTTAGTTCTTCCTTGGGAATATCATATTCGTTGGAAACTCCTATTGTAAGAACAGACTGTAGACTAAGCACTGGCAGGGGACCGCTTCCTGCCTGGGTGCCCACAGGATGCTGGAAGGATGAGGTCATTTGTTGTCACCTGAATTGACCCATCTGGGGGAAATGAGTTCTTGCTGTCATGGGGACCAATTCAAATATCTGTACAAGTAGCAGCCAGACCCTGTACATGTGCTAATGCAGTACAGGAACTCTACAGTACTGTGCCTAAAGCATGCAGGCTGGAAAAATGACCCGTGTGTTTCAGTATAAAATATCATGGCCTTGCATGCAAGATGCAAGTCAGTTGAGCGCTCTCTCTCTCTGTCTCTCTCTTTCTCTCTCTCTCTCTCTCTCTCTCTCTCTCTCTCTCTCTCTCTCTGACTCTCTTGAACTGCTGGCTTACCTGCTTGTCCGGTGACAAACGCCAGCACAGAGAAGAAAGAGTTCTCCACTCACTTACATCTGGTAAATCTCCTTCCTAGTTGCTGATGTGCGGCCTGGGTGACGTTGACGTGAATGACTGGAGACAGCATTCTATTTACAAGAATGGCTACTGCCCCAATCATCCTGTCATCCAGTGGTTCTGGAAGGTAAGTAACTACAGCTCTCTCGGCCCCACCTCTGCTTCGGGCTTCTTCTCCAAATTAGGGCAGAAGACCTAAGCGCTGTGTCGGGCTTCTTGGGGGAAATCAGAACGGGAGTATCTTTGGGAGTAGTCATGCCTTCAAGCTGGCTCATCATGTGTAGAAATCGTTTTCTCAATTTTTTTTTTTTTGGTTTTCCAAGACAGTCTTACTCTGTGCTCCTCTGGCTGTCCTAGAAATTGCTCTGTGAACCAGGCTGGCCTTTGACTTGCAGAGATTGATCTGCCTGCCTCTGCTTCCCAAGTGCTGGGATTAAAGGCATGCACCACCACCATTTGGCTTCAACATTTTTTTTTATTCCAGTAACTATTTTGATTGTTATATCTTACAACCCAAGATGCAAGTTAAATCTGATTTACTGTCTTGAGGGCCAATGTTTGTGTTCTGTTGGGCTCGGGAAAGGCTTGGCAAAGACAGTAAACTAAACATGAAAAAAAATTAAAAGATTATTCATAAACAAAAAAAAAAGGGAATCAGCCCTGCATGGTGGGATATATCTACACTCCCAGGTCTCACTGGTAAACCTAGTATTGGGAAGGCTGAGACAGGAGAATTGGAAGCATGAAGCTGGCCTGGGGTGTGCAGCCTGTTCTGGGATAGCCTGAACTGTAGTCCTGGCTGCCTCAAAACAGATTCACCTGCCTCTGCCTCCAAAGTGCTGGAATTAAAGATGTATGCCACTAAAACTGGCAGATACTGACTTTTTTTTAAAATGAGAAGAAATCAACCAATGAGTTTTAACTTCTGAATCTGTTATTAATATTTCAAGTACCAGTAAAAGTACAGAGAACATCAGGATTTTCAAAGTCTAGAACTTGGCTTTGATTTTGGATTATATTATAGAAGATCAAATCGCATGTCCAGGAAGGCTGGTTTGGTTTCTGCAGCAGTTAGGATCTGGGAGGCACACAGACTGGTTCCGAGGCCCATTTTTGCCTTGGGTTTCCTTCCGTTTATCAGGTGTCATTTGGGAACTTTCTGTGGCCACATCACCTGGCTTCCCCTTGTTTTAGACACTTCCGGAACACTGCCTGGTTAGAAATGGCTTCAAGGAGACACCTGAGCTTGAGGCCATCAAAGAGTTTTCTTTTTATTCCATTTATTTTGGCAGAAGAACAAAAGAGACCCCGTGATGCTCTAAGATTAGAGAGGCTGGGTTGTAGCAACCATCCAAAGGGAGGCAGCGGTGCCGTTTTGCAGAGTCGGCAGTAGAGGTGGTTCTGTGGCAGTGCAAATGAGAAGTTAGTCATCTGCCTGCGTCATGGCAGTGCATGGTGCACAGTGACATCATGACAGTGTGTGCTGTGTGCCGCATGGTGACGTCATGACCTTCTGCCTCTGGCAGGCTGTGCTCCTGATGGATGCTGAGAAGCGGATCCGGCTACTACAGTTTGTCACAGGCACCTCCCGAGTACCCATGAATGGATTTGCCGAACTTTATGGTGAGTGTGGCGTGTCCCAGACTCCTCTGTCCTCCTGTGAGGACCCACACAGGCAGTATTCTGCCACCTTGGCCCCTTTCCAGACCACTATAACTGTGTCAGTAACATAGAGACCCATGGAGATGCAGGACCAAGGGGTGAGGCGGTGTTTGTACAGAGAGCCTGAAGGTGTCTCTTTTCTTCATTTCTCTTTTTCTTTTTTTTCCCCATAGTTCAAGTTTTTTGTTCAGCTTTTAAAACCAGATTTTCAGAATCACCCACATGATTGAAACTGGCCTGATGAAGGACCCAGCCCCCAGTCGAGAGGCCTCTTTCTATTCTGTCCATCAAGGCTCATGGCGCATTACTTTCCCCTGAAGTAGAGGCCACAGCTCCTGCGCCTGTACCAATACTGCCACCCCTGGTCCAGTTCTGTGCTGCAGAGGATATAGGCCAAGCACGGAGCAGTACAGACCTGGGGAGTGAGGCCTCACCCTGATGCTCACCCCTCCCCTTTCCACTAAGGACCTCCCCTACTCCCAGAACTTGGTTCTCCTACTTCAAGCCCTGTTGATGTGTCTCGTTCTTGGTTTGCCCAGGTTCCAATGGTCCTCAGCTGTTTACAATAGAGCAATGGGGCAGTCCTGAAAAACTACCCAGAGCTCACACATGGTAAGCAACACCTTCTCCTTGGGGCCCGGAGGGAGAGCTCAGTGGCCAAGGGTACTTGTTGCTCTTTGCGGAGGACTCAGGTTTGATTCCCAGTCCCGACATGGTGGCTCACAGCCGTCTGTAACTCCAGTTCCGGGAGACTGGATTTTCATAGGAACTAGGCACACGCGTGGCACACATCCGTGGAGGCAAAACACTCAGGCGCATAAACAAAGGAATCTAAGCCTGACGGCCTCGGTTGGATCACTGGGACCCTCGTGGAGAAAAATCAACTCCAGAGGATCGTCTTCTTACCTCCACATGCATGTTAGAGTATACACACATGCACACGATAAATGTTTAAAAATATAAAACTAAGGACAAGATTTCCCCCATAGCAGCCCCAATTTCAAAGGCCTCTATTCAGTCTGTACATGAGTGACCCATAGTGACCTATGGGCTATGACGTCACCAGAAGGTGTTCTCTGGCTGGAGAGGGACGAAGACGCCTCAGGAATTAGCTCAGAGGAGTCACACGACACCCAGCACAGACATAGACATGGCCCAGTGGGTTTTAAAGCAACATCAGCAAGTTCCTTTCGGTCCAAACTTAGCTGGGGTCCCAGGTTTCTGCCTAGGCTTCTCCTCTGGCTGAAGTAGGGGAGTATGGTCCTGCCTTTCACAGCACAGGGAGGGTCCAAAGCCTGTGTTGGCTGTCCTGAGCTGATGTGAATGCCCTCTCTCACCCACAATGCCCGTAAGAACCTTTGTGAAGACTGGCAGTGGAGGAGCTGGCTGCTGTGGGGTAGATGCCCTTCCCTCACCGGAAGGATATTTGTGACTGCATGGAACAGCATGGTCACTGCCTGTGTGGTCCTTGCTGACATGCATGCTGATTTGAGGCTGAAATTGGCCATCCAGAGCAGGCCTCTGCTGCAGAGTTCAGACAGCCTCTTTACAGGGCTCACAGCCCTTTCAAATGCTCTTGAACTGGGTAAGACAGAGTGGATACTCAGGAAACTCTGGATGAGTTGCCCTAGCCGCCATCTTTTGAGCTTGGGCTCCCAGCCCTTCTGCGTATCTTCTGATTTGACCTCCCATACTCCTGTTAGGATAGTTTCTCCTTTTTACATCTGAGCAGACAGGTTCATAGAGGTGAGATGACTTAGCCAAAGTTACAAAGACAGCAGGGACAGGATTTGAGCTTGACCCAAAAACAAGTGGGCTTGACTTCTTGCAGAGGTCATCCATCTGTATCTAAACACTTCAGTCTTGAAGGGTGAGCTGTGCCAACCCCACCCCAGCTGAAGTCTTCTGAGTTGGCTCTCTCTGAACGTCGCTGGTGGCCAACTGGATAGCAGAGGGGCTCAACTTTCTGAAACTCAAACTTTCTGAGCTCTGCCCTGGGGTCTGGACCGTTCCTAGGAATGGGACCTCATTGTTTAGGGATCTGCATGTGCAGAACACACAGCCTTAACCTGTTTCACACCTACAGAAGAGCCCTTGGCTCTGGCATGATGGATCAGTAATAGTGTAAGAAACAGTCCATCCAACATTCCTGAATTGTACAGGCCTCATGCTCCGTGGTTTTCTCTTCTTTTAAAAAAGGGGTTTTTTTTTATTATTATTAAAACATGCAGTGTGTGTGTGTGTAGGGTGGGGTACATATGGTACCAGTGTGATTAGAGACTACTCTGATTCTCTCCGTCTACCTTTATGTGGTGTCTGGACATTGAACTCAAGTCACCAGGCTTGTCTGCAAGCCCCTGGACTTACTGAGCCATCTCGGCAGCCCACATTTTTAGTCTCTCTGTGGATGTTGGTGCTTTGTGTCTCCCTCCAGGCAGCAGAGGAATCATGCACAGTAGAAAGGTTGTCTTCTTTTCCCCATTGATTGTATAACCTGTTTGGCATGGACACTGTCCTAACTAGAATTTGGCTTTGGGTAATAAAAGTGTGACTTTTTTTTCTTTTTAATAATTCCCTTGCTCAAACAGCCAATACCCATTAGCCAAAACAAGAGCATGCTACTATGACAAGAAAAATGGCGGCCACTCACTCCCATCTTCCATTCCTTTGGCAGCTTTAATCGCCTTGATTTACCTCCATACGAAACCTTTGAAGATTTGCGGGAGAAACTTCTCATGGCCGTGGAGAACGCCCAAGGCTTTGAAGGGGTGGATTAAGGCCTCCTGCGTCGGGGGCACTGCCCTTCCAGCAAGTTCTGCGTGCACTTTTGCATTTGCCTAGCAGACTTTTGCAGAGCCGGTGGCAGAAGCAGTTGCCTGACCTGGCTCTGGAGCCCAGCTTGTCCGGGCCACGCCCACGTTCCGCCAGGGAACCCAGTCCCGGCTCGAGTGCCGCCCCTTCACCACCAATTCTCAACTGGTTAGCGTGTACTCTGATTACATTTCAGGAGGACTTGTTCTATTTATGTTGTGCCTCTGCAGGCAAAGCCCTTAATAAATATTTTGCATACTTTCTAATGACAATGAATGGAATTAATCACACTACAGGTATAGTATTACAACTCATGTTTACTTTTTAAAAATGATTTAGACTGATTTTCAGATTTTATTTCATTACAATTAAAGATGTCTCATGTACTTGGAAAAGTGAGCATATTTTTTTGTATTTGAATTTCATATCAAGCTTAATGTCGGTGACATTTTTATTTTTGAAGAACTTTGACACTCCCACCCTCTACTTTATTAGAATTGGAAGACTAATTTTTCTCCAAAAGCATTCTACAGACCAACACGTGGAAAGAATTTCAAATAGAGCATTAAGAATAACAATTTTTTCCATGCTTAGAATGAAAATAGACTGGATATTACCCTCTCTTTTGTACAAACTTAAATACTAGGTACAGGCTGGAAGGACTGTAACATCGCATGATATCTTTGTGTTAACTTGAAAGGAATGACACCATTGTTCCTTAGAAGTATTGACATGTGCCATCTCACACTCAAGACAGGGTTGGACTGTCATTTTGCATCAGAAACCCTTAACCTCTCCTGTTGCCGAACAGCCTCTTCTTAACGCTATTTTCTTCTTGGTGTTTGGAAAGACATTTCCAATGGCATTGCTCAATTCAAAACTGAGGAAGCCAGAGTCAGTAGTCTTCTGTCTCCGTTGGCTAAAACAGTAGCTAATAACCCATTCTTGCTGTAACTGCGGCAATTCCAAAGGCACTTTATGCGGGTCATATCTGTTTGCTCTTTTTTTTTTTCATTTTTTTCCTCATAATCATTACATGTGATTGTTCTTCCTCCCTGCACACATCTGACTGGTGCAGTATCTATCAATTGTGAATTAACTGCTCGTGAACCCAGATACAGTGCTGAGCCTCTCGACACCCGTCTTCTCCGACTGCTTTGTACTTTCTACTCAACAGCAAGGATTTTGCCTACTCTACCCTTAGCAAGTTGTGTGACATAATGACCTATTTTGCATGCTGCGATACTGCGTACTGCCCCCCTCCCCACCCGGGTCACGTGTATTGTGTGCTAGTTTAAACGTGAGCTACAAGACCCAGTGGGGTCTACTGAGCTCGAGCGGCCTGGTTGGCAATGGTGGAGAAACGTGGGTGTCTGCAGTGTGTAAGTCTCTGTTGCAGAATTCTGTTGCATTCTGAGAAGATGCCTGAGGTAGCATGGGAGTTCAGCACCTCTGCTGTCCCTTGAACTTGTGTTGTCCTAGACCCTGTCCCGGAAGCGAGGGAATACGGGGTATTTTGATCTCTTGCCACTTGTGAATATTGACAAAAAGACTGCGGTCTCTGCTATGTAAGAAGAACCTTCGGTATAAGAAACTGCTCGTGTTTACACAGCCCTGGGTGCCATGAAGAAGCCACGGACATTCTTGGTGGGTGAAACCCCGGAGCGGAGCGTCCTGCCAAACAGCTTCGGCTTCTTCCCACGTGCTATGGAGTAATTACAAAACAATTAACACTCTATTCTTGGTTTTTGGTGAGATATCTCCTGTAGTTACCAGATATTGGGGGCGGGGTCTGTTGTTGTTGTTATTGTTGTTGTTGTTGTTATACAACCTTCCACGTCCAGAACTGTCTCTCTGTTACAAAGAGTGCCAAAGCCCGAGCTGAGCAGTGTATTTTGATTGAAGAAGAAACCAAAATCTGCTCTAAGAACTGGGGTTCTAGAATTCTGTAGGCTCTAGATCAAGCCACGTCATTCACCAGATACAACATAGTCATTCTGCATTTTAAATAAACGCCAAAAGGGCTGTCAAGATGGCTCAGTGCATCGGGGTGTTTGTCACCAAGGCTGACAGCTAGAGTTCAGTCCCTGAGCCCCACCTGATGGGAGGAGAGAAGTGACTCCTGCAAGCTGTCCTTTGATCTATTCCATATGTGATTTCTTTTTTAATTAAAAGTATAGGGAGGGGAGGGTCATTACTAAGCCAAGAGCTGGAAAGACCTATCGAAATACACTCCTGAGAGTACTTGAAAGGCGGGCCATCGTGAATAATGCCTCAGTTCATTGGTCCAGGCTTCAGGTTTTAGCAGCTGTTACTGGGTAGTTAGAAAGTAAAATTACCGTTCACTGTAATACGGTTTGTGAGGTTTCACTTGTTGCCTGCAGCTCCCGATGTCTCCAGATGGTGATGCCCGTGCCAGGCCATCTTTGTACGATAGTTGTAAATGGCCGTGGAGAGCATGCTGTCCTGAGGGCCAGGAGGCAGCTCATTCTCCGGGCCTGACCTCTGCAGCCAGCTACAACAAACAGTAGTTGTGATCACTTATCTTGAGGCTCCAGAGTGGGTTTGGACTCTTCCCTGTGGAATGACTTTGAGCATCCTGCGGCTGTCTTGTGTTTCCCTCCCTGCCCCTTTTAGTCCACGGTAAGCCTGGATCAGCCTACTGACTCCAGAGCCGGTGGCCGTAGGTATTGGTCTATTCTAGGTGTTCTTTCTTGTCTCTCTAAAACACTGATCTCTACCTTCTATGACCAGTCCTCTAGCGGGTCACAAGAACCAGAGATCTGTATTTGTTTTTGTTTCCAGGGCTGATGTAGCTTAGTAGCAGAGTGTTTGCCTAGCGTGTACCTAGCCGTAGATTTGATTGCCATTGCTGGGGGCGGGAAGGGGGTGGATAAGATAAAGAATTCTGTTTCCAAGGACCTGAAGCAGGAGACAGCAGAGAATCCTGATGTTCAGATTAAAAATGTTATCAAGTGACTTGATACGCATCTTTTTTCCCCATAAGGCTCAGCGGCAGACTTGTGGAAGTGGACCGCAAAATAATTTAACGCTTCTGCATCTCGCATGATCTGTGGCTCTAGGTCTTGCCAGATTCCAGTCTGTTCTGAGAGTCAGGCTCATGTGCAGTAGCCTCTAATGTGTTCTCTATTTTCCTGATAGTCTCTCATCTCACCTCTGAAATATGAAAGTCTACAAAGAAAGTCTGGTCTCAACAGCTGCCCAGCCCATCCCTGCTAAACTTGCTCTTGTCTGTGGCTCTCAACTATCTCAGTAATGGAAGGGGGGATGCTAACCGTTGTCATTCGCTTCCTGGCCAGTAGGGGTCTTGCCGTGCAGGGTCACTGCCTGCCCTGCTTCCCTGTCTGGCTCCCAGAAGACCACATGCTACCTCTGTCTCATTCATGTATTGGGGTATATCCTAAGTCTCATGTCAAAACTGCCAATTTCAGGACTAGGATATGTTAAAAAAAAAAAAAACAAACTTATAAACTCTACTTTGTATCTTAGATTTTAAAACCGGGTAGAAATGTGATATACATTGAACCACTTTTTTAATTTCTATAAGCCTTAATGAACAGTGTATATGCGTCTGTGTATGCACTCCATCCCAGAGTTTGTCAGAGAAAAAGCTGTCGCGTTAGGACGTGAGCCTGCCTAGGGTTCTCTAGGAAAGGGGTAGCTTTCCGTTTGGTATGAAATCTTCCAAGAAAACTTCTCTCTCCACATCTCTCTTTTATTTGGAAGGTTAACGCGCCAAGCGCGTGTCTGAAGCAGCCTGTCTCTTTCCTGGTTTCGTATTTGTAAGGCGCAGCGGTGGAACTCTAAGGGCATCTGCTGGTGTGTGACCTCTCATGTCCTGCCGTCCCTCCGCTGGGTCTCGGTGTATTGAAAGCCTTTCCTGTGACCATAGCCTGTGCTGACAAATGTCTGTTCTTGTGTAAGCCCGTCTGCACCTCGTACTCAGACTGGTTTTTACCTACGTTATCGCGGTTTTTTTCATGTCGAATCTTGCGACTCTGTTCTTCCTTCTGCTACCCCAGATGTAACATGCATACCTACATGTGTATGTTTGCTGTCCAGATATATTTGTATATATTTGTATAGCATTTTTACACCTTAGGAGCAATCTGGATTCAAAGGGGGAATGAATGAGAGCTTAGTCCCGTCTACAGTTTTCTCCATGTCCTGAGAATTCTGACCCTCGGCGTCCCAGAGAACCCTAGGAAAGTATTAGCTTGCTGTCATTTCTAAATTCGGGATCTGTTACCAAATGAAACATTTTTTTAAGTGACTTTGAAGGTGAAAAGAGTTTCAAGCATTCCAAATGAATTCTCAATGTTTCTTAACTTTTTATTCTAACCCCACCCCCTAACAAAGCCGAGTGCTATTTGATACAATGGTCAAACCCAAACTACCTTGATCTTTTTTCTAAGACAGCCTAGTGACTGATGCTCGCTTTCCCAGTCCGGAAGAACTTTAACCTAGCTTGAATCTGGTACACACGCAAAGTTTCACGGTCAAGTCCTTCTTTTTCTTCTCGAGAGAGCTAAAGAGATACTGTAGCTTGTTTTCCTGACAGCAAATGAAAAACTGTGACAAAGTGAAGAAAGATGTTGTAAAGCGGTGACGCCACTTGTCAAATATTTAATAAAGAATTATGAAAGCTGGAACATTTTCTACATAAGTATTATGGGTTGTCTGATTTAAAGCTGCTTCGAGAGTCTGCCATGTTAATCGTGTCAAAGGTTGGAAGGACCGCAGTCCTACCTCAGGGATGAAGTCTTCCCTGAACACACGGGATGGGATAAGCATAGTAAGTTCATTTGCCCTCATCCATATTCTAGGTTTTGTCTTTGTCTTAGGTTTATTAAACCTAAGAATTGACAACTTGATACAAAAAGCACGATCCTATTACTCCATACCTGGAAAGGTGACTGAGTTCACGGCTGCTTTCTGTTGTGCACTAGACTTCGGGAGAGTAAATGACATTGGCAGCCAAGCCATGGCATGTCTCAGAAAGATGTCCTGGGTATCCAGACCTGTGTTGGTTTCCCGTTCCAGGTCTCCCTGTTCCTGGGGGTGGAGGAAGCCTTGCCCTTTTCCATCCATCCTGCCTTCTCAGTGTCCTCACCCCGGCCTCTCAGAGATTGCTGGCCTGTGACATCCAAGCAGGACTTGGGGTTGTCAGCCCTTGCTGTAGCTTCCTAAACTTGCTGCCAGGTTCTCACCAGCTTCCAGAACTCCTGTCCCCTCACCCAGGCTCAGGAGCGGACACAAGCACAGGAGGTAAGGGCCACTGTCAGTTCTTACAGAGAAACGGTGGGATGAACAAATTGCCACTACTGTGTAGTTGCTAGGCTGATAGACCCTTAGCCCGCTGTTAGAGCCGAGTGACGTTGGCATTTCCAGAATTTTATAGCCCCTGACATGAGCAGTGAGCACAGGCG